GCCAGGGCAAAAGCTCTCGGCTGTGAGCACACCCGACGGGCACAAGATACCGAATAGGATCGTGATCGTTGCTGGTTCTAGAATATGTCAATGGGTTGAGATCCCAGGCAACGTGGGTGTACAGACCAATTCTTTAACAGGCCCATCTGCCAAGGCAGCGGCCAGCGATTTCGACACACGACAACCTGACACGAGGTTGGTCACAGGGGCTTACTTGCAAATGCAAAGGCCCCTCGATTTTGTTAATGCGCTGTTCCGCCTGCCCGACGCTTGGCGAGTTACATGCACAATTGAATGAAAACACTGTTCGGGAGGGATAGTTCTTGCAGAAGGTGGGCGGAGGCTTTTGACAGTGTTTCGCCTTCTTAGCCACATAGATCCGGCATAGCTTTGACATTGTCGCTTTGCATGTTTGGATGCTTGTGAGTGTCTTTGTTCAGCCATATCCGGCAATGGCTGGACACACATAGCCAGACACGAGCAACGCAAATGTTGCAGATGCCTTTCGCCACACCATAATCCTTTTCCATGCTCTGTTGCGTGGCAGTGTAGTCGGTCAGACGTTCTTTAAGTCGCATGGTGTTTAGATGCGAAGCAACGTATAACGGGGCGGAATACTTACCGCCAAGATTCGTATCAGGTTATTACAGCTGGGTCGTATGGCGACATGGTCGTTTACCATACTCTGGTCTCAGCCTAGAAATGAAATGGTAGCAAAAGCCGAAGCTTGAAAGTCTTTCCCAGCTGCGCATGCTTGGGGCCGTTGTTTGCCCTATACCGAAGCACCTGCTTGCTCAAAAGAATGTCAATGCAGCTTGCTGGAGGTGCAGACCTTGGATGAGTCCCCGCCAATATTCACAAGGACTTCCTGTGTGCTGTCCCAAGAGCATGGGTAGACCAGAGCTGCCATGCGAAGGCTGCAAATTCCGGATCCGACGGCGGTCAACAACCAGATCGTAATCACTTTCAAACTCAACGAGGCCCACTCTAGATGTGCTTGCTTATCAAGCTCAATGCAGAACGGCAAAGCTTAAAAGGCGGGCACCGCCTACTGTCGGGCCAAGAGGACTGCTGAAAGCTAAGCCTGCCCGCTCAGTCAATCAGCTTTTGATTTGGAGAGCTTGGTTGAGCCGTACGTATGAAAAGCACTGGAGCCCACCCAAGAAAGATGATAAGTTGATGCAGTTCCAGTTGTCACAAGCACAATCGCAGAGGAGCGACTCGGCAGAGCCCACTTTGCACATCAACCAGATCCTGTCCGCAGACTTCTCCCAGGAATCTCGTGGAAGCGTTTCCACAGCATCCTAATCTCAATAAGCCTCGTAAAGGTGGCATGACGCCGCAAGGCTTCGTGGGGTGGTTTGATTGATCCACGTGAAATTTTAGTCCTGACCATATAAAGGGCAATCCTGCATCTTGGCTGATTGGCAGGAGATTGTGGATCCAGTCAACGACGTGGGCACCATCACCATTACGAGTCTCGAAGCGCGCGATCCCACCAGGTCGGGACGAATCCAGTGCCATTAGCTGCATGCGCTTCAGTCATCCAAAGGCAGGCATGCTACTGTCGTTGTAAGCTGGGCAGTATCTTCACGTACATGTGCTTCCAGTTCCTTGAGCGTGAAGACCCTGTTTCCTTCGCGCAGTGTGCTTTACGAAGCCTCCCAGTACGACGTGTACTGCTGGGCTAAAGACAGCGCTGTAAGGGCCCCAGTTTCTTTGCCTCACTACATCGCAGAAGTCGGCCAGGCTGCAAATTCCAAGAGTTTATAGCATGGTTCAAGCAAAGGATCATGAAAAGAGTTTCATTTTTCGGCGTTGCGTGATTCATTCAATCTTGCAAGGTGGATACTCACGGTTTTGCGCGGCCCAACTACATGTCCCAGAGCACCGTGGAGACTGCTGTGGGAGCTGCGGGAAACTCAGGGAGTGAGAAATCCTTCGGGACTGTGCATAGCACATAAATACATACATAAACATATTGTTTTGCTCTTCCGCCCCTCCTCCCAGTCGCAACGTGTGCAGCCAGACTCAGGATGTCAACAACCCAGCTGGAGGCCTTTGAGGGTTCTTCTCTTCAGGGCATGCTGGATGCAGGCGGTGAAGTGTTTTGTAAGAACAGTTGGCATCAGGTTAGCACTGTCAAGCAGCTTGTGACCTCCGCCCCCCCCAGGTCTTACGGAGAATGTCTGGATTACAGATTCTACGCCACCAACCATCATCGTGGTCTCTCGCGAGGTCAAGCTGGAAGCAATCTTTGCTCTGGAGTCGTGTTCAGTGCTGTAGCCCCTTACATTCGATCGAGCTGTGCTTTCTGCTGGGAGATGCTTGTTTGAAATTAACAGGCGAGCGATTCAATCCTCACATTCCGCCCTCCTCAAGACATTCTTCATCCGATTATTGGAAGCGCTGGTGCCAGGCCCTGGGCGAGTCCCATATCCAGGTCACCTTGCAGCTCAACGAGCCCTGCACTCAAAAGGTATGTCACTAAGTAAGCCCTGACATCCAAGATGCTTGACAATTTTTGCATCTCCTTATAATAATGTGCTATGCAGGCTGAAGGTTTGAAGCTTTATTCCTGTTATCTTGGTCTTTTGATCCTGTCTGTTTAGAGGCGGATCATGCTCAGAAATGATTGTGTGAAGAACTATGGCGCCGCCTCGGATAGATTCCGACCGGAGCCCAATCCAGGAAATGCATTGGCCGGCTGTGCTGCAAGTGGCCCTCCTTGCTTCCCGTGGTTCGCGGTCAGGGAAAAGTGGCTTCACCGAAAGTATTTACGGATAAGAGTTAAGACATTTCTAGTGGCGCTTAAGTGAGACAGCGTAGTTGATTTTTCATCCTGCTCCGAATCCTGTCAACAATTCCTGCAATTCTTCACTTCTGCCGACCTGGCGGATAGTTCCCCTTTGGAAACACGTCGTTGAGGCCTGGTACGGTGTGGTGTCAGGTGGCAGATCAGGCGCATCGGGTATATACAGAAGAGACCTCACGACCCTAGCGGATAAATGTTAAGATAACTTTGACTGTCAGTTGAAGGTCTACTATAACATTTTCGTCGAGAGCGAAAGTGGCAGGATGGGTCTCCTACTGGCACTCGATATTGCCAGAACAGTGCTGTCGATTTCTTGCTGGGCACTAAGACACGCAGTGTGGCTTTGTCAGCTACGTTTCAGTCGGCCGCAAAATCTGCTCGCCCATGCGTGCTAGCTGCCGAGGACTCCCGCCGATCCCTGCTACTACGACACATGGATTAAAGGCCGTCCGAGCCTGGTCCTAGATGCGTGGCTCAATGCGAGCTAAAGCAGTATCACCCCAGATCGTCTTGACGTCGGCTGATAGGCGTAGATCGCGGCAATGCAGATTCTACCCGCTTCATGCAGGAGGTCCATGTTCCATACCAGGATCGACAGTAACTCCTTTGCGGTGTGGCCCGGAGATGTGCGAAGCACTCTTGTAAAGGACTTCGACATTGACATGACCCGGATTGAGAAGACCACAGTGACTGTGGCTCTGACCCAAGGGGGGGCTGCAAGTGTTTACAGGACAAAGCAGGATACAGCTGGTGCATTCTGCAGTGAACTCTTTCTTCCCAGTCCTCTTGACACCATCCATAGATGCGGCAAATCTGAGGCGGGCGAGGCTATGGTGGGCAAGTGCGCCCTGCAACAAACAGGACTTTTAAGATGCTCCATTGTAGTGGGAACTAGTGGGCTCCAAAGACAAGACTGGCATTACAGGTGTTGGAGTTTTCGGAACCAAGCCCGATCACATTGAGTAGTGGCGCGTATCCTCCTTGTCAGCGTGGAAGGAAGGGTACCATAACTGCACTAGCTTGGGAGCCAGATGATGTCAGTTTCTGGTGATGACCCGGAAGCCACTTTGAAAGCACAACGAGGAAAATCAAGATCTGCCTCAACTTTCTTCCGCGTGCCAGTTACTTCTACTACGTCTGGTGTTTCGCACAAGACGACTGGGTGAACCAGGCCTGTGGGCCTTTAAGCCAATAATTGCCTACAGTTTGCTGTGTGGACCAAGACTGCCCGCATTGGGACATTTCAAAAAGCCATACAATACCTGGCAAAATCATCGTCAGGCTCCGACGCCCTCACCGTCCCCGTCCTTCTCGGCACCTGCTCTCTCCAACGTGGCCGGGGGCTCTTCACAAGCCAGCCCAGCATGTCAGTTGCTTCTTGCGATGCAGTGATCTAGGTCCCAAGCCCACTTGAGATCCATGTTTCTTTCGGATCTTGCAACATGCCTGGCAAACACAAAAGGTTCAACAGGCTCACATGACGGCCGTGAACCTTGCCATCGGACAGGCCTCTCTGTGAGCAGGTCTTTGCAGGTGCTTGATGCTTTTGGCCGCTTCGCAATGCGTAACTTCAGCAATGGCATCTCGCGAGCATACGCCGTGCCAAGCTAGTGCAAGGTGACCACCCTGGACCAGACACCTCCGACTTTCCAGGGAACTCCTGTCAGCTTCAGTCTCAGCTGCCAGACAAATGATTAACAGAGCCATGCAGATCTTCCAAGCAGAGCCACATGCAGAGGTCTGGCGCTTTCGGAGACCTCTTTGCAGATCACCCTCGGCTTGGACGAAGCAGGCATGATCTATTGAGCAATGTCCTTGGCCGTGGTCTGCCTTTTCCACAAGACATGTTTGACCGCTTCTGGTATTCAAAACGTGCAGGCACAATTTGGTGCATGCCCATACGATCGGCATTGCCGGAGCCCAGCATTAACGAGATCCTCCAGGACACCCTGCTTTCTGAGTTTTGCATCGCGGGATGAGCACGGATTGTCTTCGCACTGTGTCAGAACAACGAGTATGCTACTGGCTGCTTCGGTTCCACATGTACGGCCCTACGCTCAGTTTCTATTTTTTGCAGCTGCCAAGTGCAGCTTGTCTGCCCTAACCCTGCCTAACAGTTGAGCCCAGCAAGTTGAGTGCGGCCACCCTGGAAGCTTGAAGTGCCTTTGTTTGGCATGAGGTCACCATGACAGGCCTGGATGCCAAGACGCTGCCCAAGCCTCAGGTATGTCTGCTGTACTGGCCCAGCGATGCTAACTTCATGGTTTGGGAAGATCAACGCAGTGAAGAGTGGCTGGTTGCCGGGAAAGGTATGACATCTGGTGCTATGCAGAAGACGACAATGTCTATCCGCAGATTCCGAACGGCCAGAAGTTCACGGCTGGCGATGTGCCTGCTGCATGTTGTTTTGACAGGGCTGCAAACAACTGGATTCTACTGGGCTTCGCCTCGCCTGCCAGGTGGTAACCCTCAGCACTCAGGACACAACGCCGCTTTTGCCCTAGCATATCACAAAGTCTGAGGAGCACACTGGCCCATGCCTTCAATACTTCAGGCCAGTCCTTACCATCGTGTCCGCGGAGTCGCCTATCAGCTCGGACATCCGCATCAAGGCGAGGCTGCTCGGTGCCCAACCCATTGATAATCAAATACAGAAGACAGACATGCATCTGGCTTGATGATGTTCTGTCAACCGAGATAGGTATGCTGGAGGTGTGAATCCAACCGTAATTAGCTGCCCGATAGAAATTGTGTCGAGAATCAAGAAAAGGTGTTGAGCTTTTGGAGTCATTGTTGAAAAGGCAGGTGCGAGCCTCTAGTTCGCTAGTAAGATGCATGCAGTCGGTCTCTGCGAGAGCGAGGGCAAAGCAATTCTCATTCCTTTGCTGGGGGCTGGGCGCACGGCTCCACTTTCAGTCCGTTCTGCACCAAATGTGTGGCAAGTGCTTTCATCGTTTGCCGTCGGCACAGGGGTCTCCAAGCAGACATGATCAAGTTCTTTCCACTTCTCAAGCAGGTGTCGTGGACCCATAAATCTGTCGTCAGCCCTGCTTGCAGGTCAGGATGGACGAGCCGGGTACAGCACGAGCCTTGATTTGGGCGTTGTTGGCTCTGGCAGCATGTGGTGTCTCGCTTCTGAGGTGTACTGCAACTCGTTCCAAGCTGGTACAGCTTATGGTACGCCAACATTTGCCTCGGTCAGAGGCCTTAGTTCGAACTTGCAAGCTGCGGTGCTATTCTCACTTGGTGGAACCTTGCTCATGCTACGGTTCATTCTGTGCTGACGAGGGAGTCATTACTTGAAACTTTTAAGAAGCACATCCAGACTGGCGACATCTCACTGTGCACGTAGACTGACAGACCTGTCAATTCTGAGGTTTCTGGTGGCGGCTTTCAGTCATATGTTGGCTTCCCACTACTTTCGTCGGGAGCCTGGCTGGTGTGAGCCTGACAAGCAGACTCTTTCTGTCTGTTCATTGCTCGAAGCAACTCCTTCTTGATGCTTTCCGCAATTTGTCCGCGTGGGCCTGAGAGCTGTGCGGCTGTGCCCCTGCTGAGCAGGCCGAACAGCCCTATCAACACCAACGTGGAGGTCGTCGTCTCTGGCTTGAATGAGTTCACTCTTTACGACACGTGCCCTACGGGAAGACCTAATGGTGGGCTGAATCTTGTGCGCAATCGCACAGTTGCTTGACTTTTTGGGGCGCAGAACCAAGAGACCCTTCCAACTACGCAAAGCTGATGCCAGTTGGCAAGGTACTGTGCAGCAGTCGATGCGTCAACGCTCCCCACTGTGAATGAGATGGTGCAGGCAAGGATCTCCATCTAGATCCCGTGACATCTCATATCTTCACATATCCCTCTAGACAACTTGGTACCAGCTGACTCAAAGACGACTACACATTTATGCATTCCTGCATGCGCCGGCTTCAGGCTGACATTCTGAACACCTTCCCAGCGATTGGTCTTGACCTTGGATGGAACAGCATATTAGCGGCTGATGGTGCCCGACACGTGACTGCTCCTGTTGCTTACCGCTATCATCATCATCATCATCATCATTGTTGTCATCATCATTGTTGTCATCATCATTGTTATCGTCATCATCATCCTCACCACCACCATCCCGTGCACCAGGCCTTTACTTGTGCTGGTCTTCTTTCAGCTGTTTAACGTGGGGACTGTACTCGGAAACGTTGATATACTAGTATTTCGGAAGACCTCGAACTGCTCATTGACCTGCTGAAGCCATAGTGATGGGTGAAAAGCATCGGACATCAACACGCTCAAGCTCACTGGCTGGGCTCGGGACGGCGGGCGATAGGCTCTGTGATGACGCCCTGTCTAAAGATTCGGCGCTGTAAAGATGATTGGGTGCTCTTGATGGAGGGTGATGGTGGGACTTCTGCAACATTTTGGATGCTTCCTCTTTTCGCACTTCCCGCATTAATTATGTAGGATCCCGGTACCTACGTCGCTCTGCATTTGAAGTGGCCACCAGCAGGTCAGCTTACAACGCTCGACCAGTCGCCTCCTGTGTTCACAGAGCTTGGTGCCAAGGGCACCACGGTGGGCCCGGCAAAGCTTCAGTGACTGTGCCCATCCCTGATTCACCACTGTCTAATTCTGACTCGTTCGTTCCAGCAGTGACTCTCGGATTGTATCTGTTGACGGTTTGCCGCCAGGAGAACAATATTCAGGTGACCTTCAAGTGCAACGAGGACGGATATGCTCTTCTGTTAGCTAAGCCTGCAGCACATGCCATGTAGCACGTTTTGTCTTTGCAGATGACATTGCTTCACAGTGCACATGTTGTGGCTATTGTTTTGCAGGTCAGCATAGATAACATGCGGATAGACATAACAGGGGTGCATGAAGCACTCAGAAGGCTGGTAGTCAGCCGCTCACAAGAAATCAGCCAGCGCCGAGGGGTGTTTGCTTTCTTCTCTCGTTCCATTGCTTCCATTTTAAGACCCAGCAGTCAGCTTCATGCAAACTAGCATGCCAGGTGCATGAACATAATTTAAACGCTAACGCAAGACTGCCTCGGCAAGGGCGGTTAAAGCCAGCGCTGTCGAAGCCCTTTTCTCGATCCTGCATTTCAGACCTACCCCAGCCCTGCGTGGAACCCAGCCGACCAGCCGAACCCCCCCTGCCCCCCTAGAAACCGAACAAAAAAAGAGCTGTTCACGGAAGGGAGGGTTAACTTACTCTACTAGTCTCAGACCTGGATCTAAACGCCCCAAGCCGGCCCATTGAGACATGCGTCTGGCTTCCAGGCCTGCAGGGCGTACTGCCGGGTGACAAGAAGCGACTCTGGCGAGACAAGCCTCAGCGTGAACCGCATCCTCAAGGCGAAAGTTTTTTCTTGTGCTTTTGGTTTTTTTTGAGAGCTTTGCTTGCAGGTTGCCATAAGGCATTCCTCTTAGAGAAAGAGGTTAGCCACAGACTGACTCTTCACTCAGTGGTGCTGGACAGCTTTTCGGCCGCTGGAAAGCTTGAGAGAAACCAACTTGTCATTGGTAGGCAACATCATGAGGTGTCTCTGTCTATCTTAGTAATGGTCGCATGAACAAAGAAATCAATAATCCGACAGGGCAAATCAGCTCACGTGTATTACAGCAATCGGAGCAGATGATGGCAGCATTAAGTTTGGGATGTTTGTGTTGTTCCTGAGCTGCCGGAGTTTTCAAGGAACTGCTCCTACATGATCGTCCTCCCAGCGGGGTAGAATTCATGACTGATTCAGTCCACAACAAGCATTCAGAGTGGTAATCTGATTGTTTATTGTGTGCTGTTGTCGCGACAACGGAACACTTGCGAGCATTCTAAGAGCTGACTGTCCCACTGTCACACGCACCAAGACCCTCAAATTCGCTTTCCGCCGTAAGTCCTTATCCCAGCCATGCACCCCAAGCAGGCCGACTACTATGCCGACCAGTCGGGAAACGCCATGGCTTCTGCCACGATCGATCTGGCGCGGTTGGAGGCCTGGGCTGATTCACGTTCTAGGTTGGTGAGGGCGGCTTTTGGTACTGTGCGGCATGTTTTTTCTCTGACGGGAGCACCGCATGGCCTCTGTGAAGCGTATGTTCTTGCACTTGTGGAGTTTCTGCGCAGCGCATCCTGCCAGAACGACGTCAGCCTGGATCTGCTGGACCGCGGTACGCTGTACGATGTTTTCTGTATCTCGGCCGCTGCTAGTAGGGTGCAGGTGTGGCACGTAGCTGAGATGAAGGTTCATATGGGGGCGAAAAAGTAGTCATATACTAGTATCTGAAAGCATCAGCAATTGGGCATTCCATCCAGGTTGGAGCCGCGACGAGGCCGTTCAGTACTCCTGCTACGCGCAGGCATCCCGCTTTGGATTTGCTGGTGGCAGGCCTTAAATGTGTGGCACACTTGAATGTTTAGCCTTTGCAGCATAGTAACAGTACCAGGACGGCAGGATTCAATGTCTGCAAGCCTTACCTGCAAGCGGCCCTGCACCAGACGACTGTTGTGAACGACATTTTAGCATTATATCAGCCGCCGCGGGGATCAAGCTGCCCTGTTCCATTCTAGCAGGCGCCGAGCGCCTCCTGCACAACCTACCGCAGGAACAACTACCAGGCTCGGGACATACCGGCCACACGCCTGATTTAGATATGGCAAGAGTGTGGTGGAGAGCATGAGCTTTCAGCGGCTTCCTACTCGTGCATCAGTGCTGGCTTTTTTTTCCTGATCTAGGGGTAGGTTCTAGCAGAGGCCTCGTGACGCTTGCGATTTAGGGCCTTAGGTAAGACGTTGAAGGGCCATGCAATGTTTTGCCACCCACCATTGCCTGCTGTCGCAAAGCCCTTCTACCCGAAGCTTCACTTCAACGGTTGGAGCTGATCTGCATCCTGACCTGCTCTCGCTGGGCTTGGCCCGGCCTCCTTTGTTTGTACCTTCTGTCATGGTATCTTCCATGCGCATTGGCTTGCTTCTGACTCACATCCATTTTGTTCAGAATCGTGGTCGCAGCGGCGCCCATGAGTGAAGTGAGAGTTCCTGTGAAGGACCAGACGTATGTCGACACCGCCTTTGGAGGCACACCACCAGCAACGGTCACGAATGGCGCAGGACTTCCAGGAGGGCCAAGGACTCAGAAGCGAGCATCCTGCAAGTTGCTTTCTTTGACCTTGCCGCTCTCTGGCTTGCGCTTAAAAGCCTATCTTCGGACCACGGAAATGATGATCTGCTGCACACGACCCAAAGCTGTGCACAAATGGTGTGAGTGGTCAGGATCATTATGATGTCTTCTTGTTCTTTGCTTGCTGACTTCTTTCCCAGCAATTGTGAGCGCGAGGCTGCGAGCAGTATCCAGATGCGATAGCTAGAGTCACTAGCCAAAAGAATATTTGAAACAAGAGGAACACAAGGCAGCCGAAGCAGTAGTGCCGTTCGCCCCAGCAGTGTTATTACTGAGAATCTCAGTGACGGAAGCAACGCATGTAGCAGCATCGCACTGCTCATCGCAAGCACGGAAGACGGCCTGGTGAGACCATCAGTGGACCATCCATCATCAAGATAGATAGAACGCACACGGGCATTGGTAGCAGTCCCCAAAGTGCAGGGAGCTCCTACAATCCCTTGCAACCTGTTGATACTCGTAACTTGTAACAATCCGTTGACTTGCTGAGGAAGATTCTGCACGTGCTCCCCTCAGCATTGCTGAGTGGGAGGATTCACATGCGAGCTTTGGGGAAGCTGAGCATCTTTCTGCACATCTTGTTGCGGGATGCCGCTTGAAGCTTCAAGGTCAGGACTCCAGACACTACGGCTCCCTCCATCACTTTCGTTGAAGCTGCGTTTCCGGCGGGTTAAGACCAAAAAACCGCTTGGGAGTCAGCTTTAGTTCAACCCGCTCTGTTTGTGTGATTGCCAGGAGTCGACGGAAGAGTCCTCCATTACTGTCACACTTCAGCTTGATGAGCCCGGGACTGCGTACGCCCGGATAATTTTGCAGCATGTGTCAAGTTTGGGGGCTATCTTCCCCTCAATACAGTTCTGCTCAACGCATGAACAAGTCTCAGAGCTTCCTCGTGTAGAGTCCCAGATTCTGAGCTTTCTATTGCAATGTGGCCCACCTGTCAGCTTTGCAGCCCTGACCAAACAGGTACTGCAAGGCCTACACCACCACCCAGACTGTGGACGCAGCGCTCTACACTGCACTCACAACAGCAGTCCTGGTCTCAGTGGGTTGCCGAGTAGCGACTGTGGTGCAGCATAGCACACAACACTGCCTTCAAGTTTGTATGAATCCAGCGACTCGTGCGTTGGTTGCTAGAATGATGTCAGCAGCCTTCCCTGTGCCAGCCCGTCTACAAGAACACTGTCACCAATTGGAGACTTGGCTTGCAGGGTGAACGGCCCAGGTCAGTGCAGGGTCCACTGTCCCTTGCGCATTTGTAGCCAGCCAGGAAGACTCTAAAACTCAGCATGGCAGATTGCCCACCTGAATGTGGTTCAAAGCTTGTTTGAGACAGGTGAGCTTTTCTTTTTGCCAACAAGGGGTCTGCCTGGGGATTTTGTGCTTGCCACGAAGGTGTGTTTTCCGTCATGAACGCATTGTCCACTGAAGAAACACAGTCGGTGGCAGAGAAGCCGAGGAATAACATCTACAAAAACTTTGACATCAAGGTCTCTGGCCTCACCATGGAAACCAAGTGCCTGGCCCAGCCTTTGCCGGCTTTACCTGATGCCAGCCGAGCAGATTTTGTGCGTCGCAACATCTGGCGAAGTCGACGGTTGTTCTGCAATATGGTAATGGGGGGACCTCAATGTAGACCCACAATACCACGTTTTGGGAAGCCCTCATGTAGTATACTGAGCTTGGTAGCTGGAGCCGTTGGTATCGGCAAGGTATTTCGTTTACTGTGCAGCTGAAGACGACGAGCTCGTGGAGGGTGCCACCACTATCGACCCTGCGCCAACCTCGTCCCTTGGACTCAAAGATCGATAGGACGGCACTTCCTGCAATGACAGACTTTGTAATTAGGGTGAACTCCTCTGTCTGCCGGGCATAATCATCAACTGTCTATTTGTTATCCATGGCGTGTCGGTACCCGAGGAACAACGAAGCCTTGCCTGTGCTCATGGAAGCTTCAGGCGCTCCGAAAGTTGCACACCTGAGAAACCAGATTAACCATGAGACATGCAGTTTCATCTCAACACCTCTGTGGGTTCAGGCCGCTTCACTCTGGATCTCACTCCGCCGATCATTACTGTCGTCTCCATTGCTTCCAACAGCGAAACGACGCACGCGGCTCAGGGATCATGTCGGCAAGCCTAGCAGCATATTCAAAGCTTTTCTTTTCTCCTGGGCCTTTCCAGGGCGACTGTCACGCTGCAGCTGGATGAGCGGCACCGACATGTTTGCCTATTTCGATTCGGGCCACCTGTGCACTTGCTTGTCGCCAGAATGCCAGCTCTTTCCGTCAGCACCCGACAATAATAGCTCCATTCATGAATTTTGCCCTGCTGCAATAGAAGTGAGGGTACGCCAGCCACGCCAGCCAGCAAGTTGTAGTCTGGAGCACAATCTCCCACTGCCAGGCCAGGCACAGCTTGGTGTACTGCAGTCCGCGACCAGTTCACGCCCCCAAGCATCAACCAGGCCTGAGAACAAGCTGTGGAACTAGCTTTGTGTGATCATGGAAGCTAGTGGAGCCGTGCTTGAGTTGTGTCAGATAAGGTCGAGAAAGCAGCGAGCTACTGATTCTATCACAATCTAGCACAGTTGCGCGGTCGTTTGGGCCCAAACAAACCCGATTCGTTCACAGAAAATGCAGCGTGGAGGGCGGAGGTCGGAATTGATATATCAATACTTGCCATGGCCTGCTGTGGGAGGGCAGCAACTCATCAATCCGCTCATGGATTGCTTAACTTACTTAAGCTTACGCTGCACTATGTTTGCATGGCAACGAATAGCCTGATGCTTGGTGGTTGTAAACCTCTCTCTTGCTGCTTCACTGCTCACGTACGACTACCATCATGGTTGGTTTTGCATCGAGCCTCTCTCCTCGTCATCGTGCGAGTAACGTTGTGGGTGGCGGTTACATCAAGTTGACTAGAGTTGCATGGGCATGTTGCGATCATGCTTGGTTGCAACATGTCCCCTTCCTACTTTACTGCTCACTACCCTCGCATTGTCAAGGTACGAATACATCGTGCTTGGTGGTTACGCTATTCCTTCCTCCTTTTCCTCTTGTATTGAAGTGGTGAAGACCCGGCTTGCTTGGATTGGCCCTCAAGTTCCCGGTTGCCTACAGATCATCGCCGCAAGCTTCTCCTCGACGGTCCTCACAGCGGCCACGGCTCCTCAGCTCCAAGCTGCCTTAAGACACTGTGAGCCTAAAGAACTCTTAGATGTTTCTTAGTTGGGAGTGCCCCCATTCAATCCAGTTGAGTTCCATTCCTGGACAGAGATCGGATACAAGCGTTGGAGATTTTAGGAGTCAGCACTGGCAGCTGTTGTCCAAGGACTTCACCGTCCAGGTCCAGAATCTCATCCGCGACACCGAGTGACCATCGGAGAGGGCTGCAATTTGTTTTTTTGGACCTGCAGCTGGATTCCTCAGTAGGCTCTGGTGATTGGGACATTGAGACTTAGACTTAAACCTGGTCTGCTAGATGGGTGTATTGCCAGTGAAGCGACCTGGCAGCGTAGTTCTCAAGCTGGAATGAAAAGCCAAATCTTTTTATTCTTCAGCACCACGCAGGTCTCCAATGTGTAAGATGTTAACCTCCAAAGCCTACACCTACTGACCAATCCGCCCTGGAGCAAATCCAGACTATCGTGTGCTTGTGGCGGGCGATCCTGCTTTCGGCCATGGCGGCACACCCAGCCAAGAAGCCGAAGATGCAGAATGGTACCTCAGGCCTGCAGCAGAACAGTGTTGGTGCACAGATCGGGGTGAGGACATAGTGCATTTTATGGATGCACAGGCCGGCCCAGCATTGGCCCGATGGTCACCGGAGGAACAGTCGCTTGGCTGGAAACACACGTCTGAGCCCCTTATGTTTGGTCAAAACGCAGAGTTAGACCTGAGTCAGAGTGGACGAGAATCGCCCCAGACACTAGAGTGTGGCAGTATGGCTTTGGGACCTGAAGGTCCGTTCTCTGCGTATGCCCGCGCAAGGTTTCCTGGGACAGGGCTGGAGAGCCTTTCTTCTCCATGGGCGCAGGCACATCTTGCGTTGGTCGGTTGAGGCAGTTCCAGATTGGCAACGCAAGTACCATGATGCACATTCGTGGGCGTTAGCATGCTGTCCCGCACCTTCGTTGTGCAGTCACAGCAACAAGCATCACGGAAAGACAAGTCTGAAGCTTTAAGCTGATTTCACAAGCTGGCGTGAAGAACCAGGGGTGGTAATTGTTGGAACAAAAGAAACGGCGTTGTGAGAGAAGATGGCAGTCCCTGGCGTGATGTATTCTGATGAGAGGCACTCTGCGAGTCCCGATGGCCATGCATGCTGCCCACAGGGAGAAGCTCTGCCAGGCCTAAAAAGGGCTTGCTACTTTGACATAGACTGGACATGGCACCGGGCCAGAATCAAGTGAAGCAAACTCAGACCAAGGCCACTGGATTCTAGAGTCTAGAGTCTTGATCATGCCGTAGTGCCCTTTACAGAAAACTTGTGCTGCAAAGATGCGAGTCTGCGAGGTGTTGCGAAAGAGGTCGGAGCTTGGTCCTGATGCCGTGATCTTCCTCCAGGGCGGCAAGGAGGCAAATGTCTACGATACAGAGACTTGGAGCAACAGTTTTTTACTCGTGTAGACAGATGGAAAGTAGCGGTGACTGACACCATTAGCACCCCTGCTGCGAGAGCTGCGAGGCATCACTGCAGCTTACGCCTTGAGTGGAAAAGCATATAGGTGCATGGCTGTCTAAAGTGTCATTGTAACGTATAGGTGCAGGTGCCACGTGTTTCTTGTTCCTAAGCTCAGGACACCAACTGGGACTTCAAGCAGGAGAGCAACTTCCAGTACCTCTTCGGAGTCAAGGACTGTTCTGGAATCCTTGATCCCTTTGCAGCAAATCATTTGTGCAACGGCCCTGTGGCAATGGTTGGACCTGAAGCCTCGATCCATATGCCTTACCAGTTTACCTTCACAGTCTAGCGTGCCAACCGGCCCCAGACCGACCATTCACTGGAATTGAGGAGCCTGACTGCTTTGCGGCTCTGCGTGTCAGTGATGCACATGCCGTGATCTTCATCCCAAGGCCCCCAGATCGGCATTTGCTGAGAGCTCTGAGGTCTTAGTCCACAAGGTCATGCATTTTGATGCAGAGGTCTGGTTAACGGCTTCCAGATGAGATAGACTGTGAGCATCTTTCGTGCACCCACCTCTGACAGCCACTTTCTTGAAGGGACTTCACACTCAATAGTGCCGACAGAGAGACGGTGGAATCCCACATTGAAAAATCCATCGCCAGCGTTCGCCAGCGTACCACTCCCTAAAGCCCGTGCTGTGCTACGTCCAGGATGGATAAGATGTATCAAGCCTGGTGCGGCCCCATCAAGCCTCCGGCGCCTCGAGAAGATTACAAGATGGGTTTGGGTTGCAGTCTAAGACCTTGATAAAGTTGAGCGGAAGAGACGGCAGCAGAAAATGCACATGCATCTACGAGGGGCCGAGCGTGGTGCAGGACCGTTTCTGCAGTTGAGACTTGTGGGAAGCCGTAGCGAATCTGCGAATCTGTGCAGAGTGAGCATATCAGCCAGGTCGGAGAGAATGAGAGTGCTTTCGCTAGAGCCTGCAGTGGACTGATGCACGAGCGCTGAACTGAGGCATGGTTCCAGAAGGCCTATGGTGTCCAAGAGGCTGCGACCTGTCACAGCAGAATTCGAGATCCGAAGCTATGGGGGGGACCAGGTTGCGCACACCGACGAGATGCTGCAGACACTGCAGGCGTTGGGTGCCAAGGACGCAGAGAGTGTCGGAGCTGTGTAGCCAAGAGTCGTGTGCATGGGTGGCGAGTCCTGTTAGCTGGCAGGAGCTGTTGTTCGTCCGTGGCTCACCTAATAGAGACTCTTGGACATTGCCAATTGGAGGAGTGTGTGTCGTCTTTCAGTCTGAGCACGTAAGGATTCTGGCCTCCAGCTGGAAGAGCCTGTGTTCGACGGAAAGGATTGCCTTGCTTGCAGCACATAATTGACTCTTTACATGGCTGGCGGTTGGTGCTTCTGAAAATGAGTGCAGGACAAATATCAGCTAAACAGCGCAGGCCTCCGGATTGGCTCTTTCATACAAGTGTCCTGAACGTGTACATGCTCTGCAGGCAGTAGCGCCCTTTGGAACGAATTGAATGAGATCCGTTCTGCTGGGCTCTGAGCTTTTCAAGCAGCAAGCTTTGTTTCTTGATACGGTCGCAGCTGCCGTACTGAATTTGTTCATCGCCCTCTATGAGATCTAATCTGCTGATGATGTCCTAGTGTGATCTAGTGTGCCTCCCTGCTCTTAGGTGAAGGACGAAGAGGAGCTGAAGCTGCTCCAGCAGCTTGATGCAAACCAATGGAAGATGACGAAAAATGCCAGGGCTGTCGTGCCCCCTGATCAGGTGGGTCAACGATGTCTCTGCAGAAGCGCACTTGGAGACCATGCGGGCAGTGAAGGGAGGGCAACGAGAGCACCTGGCAGAGGCCACCTTTAAGTACAAGGCCGGCCCAGGCTTGATACGTTTTCTTGGAATGTGATCCGTACGTATGAGTAACACTGCGTTCTGTCCTTGTACTAGGAGTAGCAAGTGCAGCAAGGGTGCAATAGTAATGACGTAATAACGAGAGTAACAAGAACAGGATGTAAAATAGCAATAACAGTCGTATGAACAGTAATAAGCTTTTCATGATAACCGTCATACCAATGATAATAGTAGCAGAAATATCAAAACTAACAATATCAATGATAGCCAGCGTAGTAACAATTGTAGTATATTGTAGTAACAGCAGTAATGATAGTACTAAAGTTAATACCAGAGTAGTAACAGCAATAGTCATAATTCTAGTCCTAGTCGAAATACTAGTAATATGAATTAAAGCTTCAATCGTAAAAAATAGGTAATTATAGTACTTATAGTAAGTAGACGGATTATAGATATAGTAAAGCTAGGTAGTTATAGTACTTACGGTAATAGTAGTAGGTTTTCAGCGATGCCTTCTCAGGCGGCTCTCCGCGGCTGCTTTCGCGTGGGCTACAACTGCATCTGTGGCTCTGGGAGGAGCCACTCAGCTCCAAGAACTTACCTGGGAATTTCTTGCTATTCGTATTGTTATGCTTGTTATCATTTTTACCATGATTCCCATTGTTATTGCTATTAAGTTTAATATTATTCCTCAACGGTCGTGGCTTGTGTTTCGGGGGTTTATATGTGAAAGATCTGAAGTTTTGACGAATCGTCAGCTGCCACAAGCTTGAATGCATTCGATGGACACCCGGGTCTCTGGGGCTGGGAATGTGTATTCCGATTTCGGCATGCCTGGCTTGAACACAGCAGAGGGCAACTCACTTCAGAAGACTCCATGCCAGAAGCTTTAGTGAACATGCTCTTCAAGCTGGTGCGCATGAACTGCACCACTTTCAAAGGATCGTGTATCTACTCGTTTGGTGGGGTGAAGCCTAGGAAACGCCATCCTCCACTATGGCCACGCTGCTGAGCCCAACTCTGAGTGGCTCGGCCCGTGGCATGCTTCAGGTTCGCCACTTTCTGCATTTTTAATGTCAATCGGCTCCCGCAACGGACAGGTTATCGGAAAGTTTGTGATGAAGTCAAAGTATTTTGAACTCTGCGCTACCAAGGCTTGTAGAGGCGGGGTCCCTGAGACTGCTGGACATGGGTTGGAGGCTGAGCTGAAGCTGTCGCAACATACATTTGCTACAAGGTGTAGGTGTAGTTGTGCTGTACTCACTGTGTTGTAGCACATGTAGCTTCATGCATGATCCACACTTTCTAGGCATGTGTACTTGATGTGCAGCGCAGAGTAGCATCGTCGGCACGGTAGCTGCGCAAGACAAGGATGCATTGTGGGCTTTCATGACTCATCGGCATCTCAGGTGCAGAGTACCATGGCTACTCTGCAGACGTAACTTGCACCTTTCCAGTGCTGCTTGGATGCATGGCATGTTCACGTGTTGCAGGCAGAGCCGGAGCCTGTCGAGATTGCTGCTGGCTGTTGTGATCATTCCTGTTTAGTTCCAAGCTGGCTATTTGTCATCAATTGCAGAGCTCCTGGAAGCCTCAGGAGTGGCAGGTTCAGCCAGCCGCAGCGGGTGGTCTACGAGGCCAGAAGTGACCAATTAGCGTTCCAGGCTTCTGAGTTTAGAGCATGGGCCTCGTAAGGATGGGGAGCTTCTGGTTTCTGGTATGCTTTCTGCGACTTAGGATGAGAGCCTTGGCATGCCTTAGCCAAGGCAGTCTGGGAAGCTGTCCTGGCCGTCGAACGGACCCTGAAGCCCGGTGTGTGCTACAAGGTGCATGTTTGCTGGAACCTATAGTCCTTGGAGCATGACATTCACTGGAGGACATGCACAGGCTGGCGCAGCGCACGCTGCTGGAGCGCATGTCTGCCGCCGGGCTCTTTGCCCCTCGACAGGGTTTATGGGGTCGGATGTGCATGGTGGGTAGCAGGATGCGGGTCTCTGCACAGGGGCGAGGCTCCTGATCACTTGTGACAATATCAGTCTGGGATATCTGGATTCCCATTGGTAGTCATGCCGCAGACGTGCGTGCATGCCAAGTGTGCGTTCGTCGTCATCGTCGTCATCATCATCTTCATCATAAGCATCAGCATCAGGACCACATCAACATCATGATCATAATCATAATCATGATCATAATCGTCGTCGTTGTCCTCCTCCTCCGCCTCCTTCTTGTTTGCTCGTCCTGCTCCTCCACATCATCACCATCACGTCATCGTTTTGCCGCTCCCCCCCACCACCGTCATCACCCTTTGCCTTTGATGTGTCCGCACACCAGCCTTGTGCATGTAAGACATGCTGATCAGCTCCACTGTTCTAGACAAAAAAGGTCGGCAGCGTGGACGACATGATGGCGGAAGGTGTGGACAAACAAGTCTGACATGTTTGATTAACAAGCGCTCGTGTTAGTTTTGCTGTTGCACCAAACGTGGCTTTTCACAGGGCTCATGTTCCACTTCATGCCCCACGGTCTTGGCCACCAACTGGGTTTGGATGTCCACGATGTGGGCGGCTATCCGCCAGGCGCGGTGAGGAAGGAGAGGGTGCTTGGCATGTAGCCGCGGATGAATGGCTAGTCGGCTAGTTCTTGTCAACGCCTACCCAAAACCAGAGAGGCATGACCCTGAATGCCTCCAAACGAGCTGTAGATGGCCTGTTGGCCCTGTAGCCTTCAGCTGCCTAGCTGGGATTGCGATCATCATCCGCGCCAGCTGAAGAAGACCCTGTCGAGGACGATCCTAGCATCAAGGAGAACCTCAGACTGGGCAGGGAAGTGAAGGAGAACATGGCACTTGGCCCGAATGATGAGAGCATCCTGAGGGGCTTTTTGCTTTGACTTAGGTGCTAACGGTGGAGCCAGGCTTCTACTTCATCGACTACCTGATCCAGGAGGCCTTGGCGGATCCGCAGAAAAAACGCTTCATCAACCAGGCGAGGCCTGGGAGACAAATTTGCTCCTAATCATGAAGATCTTTTACCCTAACCATGTGGATTGTCTTCTCCCAACCATCTCCACTTTCTTTTCCTAACCACAGTTCAATTCAATTATTTCTTCATGAAAGGCTATTCTCCTAACCATGGAGAACTATCTAGTAAGAGGTCTGCAAGCATTCGCTCAGAAAACATCCCATGATGCTGCTTGCAGATTTAGAAACATGAATAAAAAGAACGTTTCGCAATGCAGCACTAAGAACATTTGGCGTTTTTTGCTGGTCATCCACTTAAGACTACGATTTCGGGGGTAGACTGCGATTTCGCGGAAGAGCGGCTGGATTTGTCTATGTTGGGCAGTCTCTTCCAAATTACCGAATTATGTTACGATTTCGGAGAGAAGTGGTTTGATTTTGGCTATTTGGGATAGCCTGTTCCAAATTAGACTACAACTTCAGAGACAAATGGCTTGACTCAGCTATTTTAGCTAGCTTTTCTAAGTTAGACTGCGATTTCGGGTAAACATGGCGGGATTCTTCCATTCTTCCAGATTAGACTGCGATTTCGGGGAGAAACGATTAGATTTAGCCATTTTGGCTAGTTTCTGTTCCAAATTCGATTACAATTTGGGGGAGAAAGTTGGATTTGGCTAATGGGGCTAGTCTGTTCCAAACTGTAGTCTCATGGCCAGCCATTTCTCCCCGAAATTGTAGTCTCATTTGGAGCAGACAACCCAAAAGGGCCGAATCCAGCCATTTCTCCCCAAAATCGTAGTCTAATTAACTCAACCACCAAACCCTTCCGACATGTCCCTGCAACGCTAGTAAAAAAACAACCTTGAGTTCAGTTACCATGATGGTATATATGCATGATAGTCATTTGGTTTGTACTAATGCTAACTTCTCTTAAGTTCACCCCTGTCCAGTCACAGTTTCCATAAGTACGAAGCCAAGTGGGCGTGTTATGTGCAAAAAGGCCGCGCGTGCTTAGAGGAAAAACCCGACGGGGTAAGACATTTGATTTTGATTCTGGCCGTGGTTAGGAAATATTTTCGGCAGGGCTGAGCAAGCCTCTGAAATTTCCTTCAATGCTGCCACAGGACAAGCTCTACGAGTTCTGGGGTGACGTCGGTGGCGTTCGGATAGAGGACGACGTGCCTCGGATCATCAGCTCATAGCAGTTCCTGCAGCGGATGTTGTGCCAGTAGCATTTGCCCTTCTGTATGTCGCAAGCCTTGTGCAGTGGGTGTGCTGCGTCATGAAAACTTGTATGAAAGGTTACGCGCTCACCCAACAGTTTCGGCTTCGATTGCTAGACATGTAACATGCAGGAGGCTAGCTGTCTAAGGTTTTGCATCAGCTTTGGATCTTCAGTTTCTCCTCATGAATTTCATGATCTGTTTAAGCTGCTGGTGGCCTGACGCGGCCTAGTTTCTCTGCTGCCGACGCGTGGACGCTCGGCTTTGCCATTCAAATATGCTAGAGTTGTTGAGGTGGTCATCACGGCGGCGGGTTGTCGGGTCCTTACATGTGTACCCCGCACAGTTGAAGAGATCGAGGCTGGGCAGTGGACTTACGCAAGCTATAAAAACTCAGGGATCTGCTCTCAAACGCTTCATCGAATGTGTGGCAGGCGGTGATGGCTGGCGGAGCCTGGCAGGCTGCAGGGTTGGCGAGCGGAACATCGTTGCACCTTTTTTCCCTGTGACATATGTAGGTGAGTGCATCATGCTGTCGCTCCTACATCGCCACCGGATCCAAGATGTGAGGGCGAATCGCAGCCTTCAGTCACTACAGAGTGGCCAGAAGCAGGAGATCGCGCAGCTGTCTGTTCAAGCTTGGGCGCTTTCACTTCTGTCATTTGAATGGCTACCGCCCTTGCTTTGAAGGTCAGGCAATCTGTGTGCACACACACACTCTCTCTCTCTCTGTCCCTCCCTCCCTCTCTCTCTCTCTCCTCTCTCTCTGTCTCTCTCTACCCGTCTCCCTCCCTCGGCCTTCGTCGTGAACTTGGCTTCCGACTCTGACTCTTGCTCACACGGGGCCCATTCCAGCCTAAGACAGGCGACTTAAGAGCCTGCGAGAGTCTGCTACGCAGAGGCGCGGCCCAAAACTTGATGGCGAGCCTGCCTTGACAGCCAGGAGTTTCAAGTTGCGGGCATTGTGAAGCAGTCACTTTCCGTGAAGGTTTTGGCAGCCACGGCAGCCTCAACGCAACTTGTGTAATGAAGCTAGGACCTTTCATGCAGGAAGTGCGGCTGGATTGCTGGAAAGTACACTCGGCCAGTGGCTGTGCCTATCTGGACTTTATCACTGCCAGTGAAGTCACGCAGCATCGTATTCCGGATCTAGAGGAAACGCCCCCAGCTATAGCATGAGAGGCGAATGTCAGCCACCAGCGCCTTCAGGCCTATACTACCAGTACTGGAGTTTCACCTTCGTTTGCAGATGTTTGCAGCCTCATGGCTGGGCGTTTCCTGTAGATTCACGGTCGCTGCTGCTTACGGCTCATCCTCAGCGTCCACATGGTTTACAGCCGAGTGGCCTTAGCCACTCAGTGCAGGATGCGGAATGCTGAGCAGCTCCACAGGGCGAAACGTATTGCGAGGCAGTTGAATGAGTGGTGGGATGACAAGCGACAAGCCCCATGCTCTATCCTGGCTGTTAGAGCTTCTTCAGGTAGGCCCTGGTGCAGCACCACGGTCAGGAAAGGAAGCTGAAGACTCAACCCTAGCTAGTTGCACAGGGCAGTGCTCCGTGCGTTTCTGGACGTGAACGTGACCCCTATCGACTACGAGATCAAGTCTGCAGAGCCATCGCCATCGATCATTGCAGAATGTGCGACAGGTCCAGCTTCAGGGACGAAAGGTGGCAAGCGCATGGGGCCAGCAAAGGGCGTCGTAAGAAGCAAAACAATTGTGAACATGGTAAAGATGGCAGCAGTTGTTACAAGTTTGCGGCCGCATGCGCCTCACGCGACTTGCGCAGTCAAAAAAGCTAGCTAGAAGTCTGCACAAGCACAAAGAAGCAAGTATATCCCTCGCCCATTCCAGGTATGACGTGTACTGCCACGCTCGGGATCGCGGCACCGAGACTGACGTGGGCCTTTCTGCAGGCCCCCTGCAGCAGTACCACAGTACCATCCTTTGGTTCCTTTAAGAAGTCTGACGTGGCCCTTCCTTGACAGCCCTGGGCAGCCGTAGGCAATCCGGGCAACGACGTGGATTCGGCGCATGCCAGGGCCCAAAACCAACACGGGCCTGACAGGCGGAGTCATAGCAGTAAGGTGCAACACTGATTCCCAAAATGTCGGTTTGGAGTGTGGAGGGTGCCAAGAGATGAGGTGCTTACAACCAAGCGTGACATTCACACCATGGGCGACTCCACGCCACCGTCGGTGGTGTCGGTGGCTTCTGCCTACCTTACTGACGGCCTCTGAATGCTGATTGGCAGCGCCCAATCTTGAAGGGTTCGATTGTTGCCAGTTTGCCTCTTGACCCACCGTGCCAGGTGTCTCCTGCCCACCAGCAGAGCGGGGTCATCAGCAAGCCTACCTTCACGAGCCATTGCTGCAGACATCTTCAGTTCAGTTCAGGCTCGTAGAGTACCTGTGTCGAGACATCTCGAGACCAGAAGCTAGAACACACCACATGGACAACATGGACAGTAAGGTCGAAGCTGCTTCATGTCTCAGTTAGCTCAGCTAGGATGTCTTGCCCAGCAAAGGATTGTCTTCGACGAGGACATTCAGGCACATGCCCCACATCTTCTTGCCAGTATGTTCTAAGAAGTTTGTAAGACCACCACGAGCACATTGGTCTATCACGGCCGCCTACATGTCTGAAAGACATGTAGACTCAATGTAGACCCACAACTTAGATCAGAAGTCGAAAGCACGCTCAAAGTTGACTCCCGATGTCTTTTAGTCATAAGCGTCCATGTGTTCTGGTGGAGGAAGTCTTCAAGCATCCGCTGCACTTTTGCTGGTTCCGGTTGCGCCCAAGAGAAAGCAATAATGCCAGGCTGGCAGCGGAAATGTGGTCTTTACTCCACAGCAACTCGGACGTGACACATATTCTGTGTTTTGACAAAGCAATCCCAGAGTGAGCAGGCAGTGGCCAGATCAAGGGTTCTTCAGTCCAATGGTCCAATGGTCATGCATCGAGTTGTGATTCTCAGGACCGGGAGTCCCATCTCCATTGACATTACCAATGCCATCGACCTCAGCTGTAGTCTGTTGCTGCATTTCCCTTGAAATGAGAGCAGCGAAGCCGGTGTGATTTCACCAGTGCGTTCGCTTGTGGCAGCCAGCCATCTCAGAATAAAAGCCGCGAGTCAAGCAGCCGCGACTCCAGACACATAGCAAACCGAAGCAACTGCTACTTGTAGTGACAAGCTTCTGACGGGAGAGTCTGCTGTGCGAGGTCAACAGTGGAACGTGTGCACCAGCGAAGCTCAGCATCGTGCTCACAACCTTCACAGCTGGAGCCTCTGTGAAACATGCCAGCGAGACTGGGAACGGAATCCTTGCTTCGCATCAGCTTCTTGGCACCGTGGGCAGGCGGATTGGTCCTCCTGTGGCGCATCGAGCCCGCTGTCTACGTCAATGAACTGGCCGCTTGGATGGCTGGTGCTTCTAAGAGAGCAACTACAGTGGTTCATCCTGAGAGCCAAGGTATGTGTCCTTCGTGGCAGGTGTCCTCACGGACAGCTCCAGCCCTGCTTTTGGCAAGTTGTCGTGTCAGCATCACAAATGCCAGCCCAAAGCCACGACGCCATTGTTGTGAGCGATGGGCACTTTGGATACTGCACATGTGGGGGGCAGGGCGAACTTTTTAATCCCAAGATGTGCACAAAATGATCAACCCGGACTTATGTGGGCTCTATACACAGCTGTTCAAAACTGACTCTGAACGGAGCTGGAAGAACCCCATTGCCATCAGTTCCCATCTGCTGCAGGCGCCATGCCCTTGCAACTAACAACATCCTGGTCTCCATTTTGTTTCCCGCTTAATCTGCCTTCTTACTACCCCACTCCTTACGTACCCCTATGTCCCTGTACAAGCTCCGATGTGCCCAATTTTCCTGAAGTTGCGTGAAGGACGCCTCGCCTGCCGCCAACCCTGTGCCAGCCTTCGGTGCTTCCAACTCGTCCCTTCGTGGCAACAAGAAGTTGAGATATCCTAAATAGGACTAGTCTATTCCAGGAGCGCATTTCTATGGGTGGCCGCTGTAAGAGGTCGAAAATAGCCGGGCGCCTTTGTGTCGGTTGCAGCTCGGGTCATTCTGCCTTAGAGACATGCTTGTGCATGGTAGCGGCTTTGTTGTGATCAGTCTCAGGTACTACTTCACGACGGCCTAAGCGAGAGAGGAGCCTTCCCGCGCGTCAACGTCAGAGATCGACCAGTCGGAGATGGACCCCGCCCGAGAGCAGCGCTCGTCGGACGGGCGCGCAGCTGGCTGAAATCTGCCAGTCGCGAGCCCTTCAAGTTTCATCTTCCATATCATTTGAAATGTACCCAATGTACCCCTATGTCTCACATGACTGGATGTGAGGAGCCCCTGGTCAACCAGCATACGACCAGCCACCATGCATTTTTTTCAATTTTTCAATAGCTAAAGTGCATCTACAGTGAGTGCTACAGCGCAGTTCTGAGTGCCACCAAAGCTTTTCCACGATTGTAGGTTGCCAGTTGTCTAGCGCGCTCCTTGCAGCGTCAGTCGGTTAGTGCACCGGGCCTCCCCTTTGTCGTCTCAGCAGCAGGCGATGCAAAGCGAGAGATCTTTGACGCCAAGAGTTCAGAGCTAGCTGTAGCCATATGGCATGAAGTAGCAGATGGTTCAAATTTGCTTTCTTTGTTCAGTGTCTGGGTGTGCGTCCAGCTTCACAAGCTCCGAGTTTCAATCGTGCGTGCGCATACCGCAAAGCCCAAGGCCTTCTTAGAAGCTAGTTATGCAGGTGCCTGCACAACGAAGCAAAAGAAAGGCGCATGTCTTTGAACGGCATCCCAGCTGTATCAGACATGAAGTAAATATTGTTGGTATTTGGCTTGTTGATGGAATTGCCATTGTTGTCAAGAAAAGAGCATCCCGCCTGCCCCTCCCCCCCCCTCGCAAGCAAAGCCACTTGACTGCCTGCGCCTGGCTCAACTGAGGACTAGACATGACAAAAGAATCTGGGATCAAGCCGGAGGGTTGCAAACCCAAACGATCGTACATCTCAGGAGATTAAGGGCACCGCATTGGAGGTGCATTTCGGCCGTGTAGCCGAGTCTTCCACTGCACTCAGTCAAGTTTGCGCCTCAGCTCTTCCAGTGTCCGTCCAAGCACGGATCCCCTCCTAGCTACAGAGATCTGTTGAAAAGGAGACAGCGAGAATTGGACCCAGATCCAACTCATTAGGCAAGTAGGACGCACTTGTTTGTGGCCTGAGGTACAATGGATGACGGCCAGGACTTGCCGGTGCAGCACGGTTAGTCAGTCGGTCTGAAGGTCCTTTGTAAACTCTTGCTGCCACCCCTTTGCGCAGCACTCTCAAAGGTGAGGACGTCCCTGCGTGTTACAGGCTGAACAAATGGCATCAGCTTCAGAAAGCTACCACGCGCTGCAAGATTGGGATTATTCAGGAGGATGACGGCGATGACTTTGAAGATGAGGAGGATATGGAAGAGGCCAGGTTGATGAATTCGTTTTCCAGAATCTTTTGAAGCCATCCGAGACTTGGTGGTTAAGGGCCACTTGTGCTGGCTGGATAGAACATTATGGAGATATAAAGGCATGTAGACGAACGTATGGTATTCCCTGCCACGAATCCATCTTGACAGTGGTTTTGCAATGAACGTAAGTGTTTGAAGCTGTCCAACGATTCCGGATTTCCACAACTCAAGCTTCCCAGGCCCCAGCAATTGAAGGAGTTCATAAGTCCGCAATTGCAATAATGGCAATTCCATGACTCCACACTTGCTACATTTCCAGATCTGATACTTCCGAATGGCCACATCTGAGAGGATCTTACTTATCAGTCTTACGACATGTACTAGTACAAATGATCATGGCCAGAAGTTGATGTCAGAACAGGAGAAGCAGAAATCAAAACACAAAGTCTGTGATTGCTGATGATGCAAGGGTCGTGCACGTACTATTTGTTCTATCGTCTTTGCTGCTTCTGCTTAACCCTTTGAGCAGGAATGCGCTTTCAGTATACAACTGGTAATGGCAAAGGCAATGCTGCTTGAAAGGACCCTGCCCAGTTTCTTGAAGATACAGGTGACATTGCTGAATACAGCATCCATGCTAATCTGGGCATCAGGAGAACCAATCAAAGGTCGCATTAGATAGGACATGTGCGCTGCAAGAAAACGAAAAATCCCCAAACCACTAAGCAAAGTCTGAACACCCAAAATTTCAAGAACTCCAAATTCAAACGGCATGCTTTTCTGCAGTTTTGGAGCAAGTCCATCATTCCTTCACTGAGGTGTGTTCCAAACTGTGGATTCTGTCGGAATTTAGGCAAATGTGTCTACGCTGCTTCAGTTGGGCGTAGCGCACATATTTGTTTCTGTGTTGATCTTTGAATATATGAAATGCCCGAGTTGCTATCATGTGTCCAACGCCCTGAGGACGAGAATATGGAAGTCCGAGAAGATGAGAACCCGGAGCCGAGTCTTGTTGTGGGTTTGGGGTGATTTAGTCATTAGAGATATTGTAGTTTGGAACCTAGACTTTCAGTCCACAGATGCCTAGAAGGAGGTTGGAGCAGCAGCACATTGAGAGACAACGTTGCCCAAAGTTTGGACAGGATGCAGATCCAGGAATACTTCTTGGCATTCGTATGCCCTAGGCCCTAAATGAAGATGATGCAATCACTGTGCTGGACAGGAGGAGAAGCCAAAGGCCTGCAGCCCATCAGCATCATAAAAGCTAAATCAGTGGAATCGGGGTGTTTTGCAGGTTGTCAGCATGCTAGGGAGATTGGCCATGGTGATGGGGGCTTGAGTTTTGAGCTTTGGGAGAGTCTACGGCAATGTTTAAAATTACTTCGGGTCAGTATTGATGAATATCGCGCAGGCCTCGGAAGGTCCAAGAAAGACCACTCCGTACCTTACCAAGTACGAGAGCACTGGCCTCAACGGTCAGCTGTCACTTAGCTGTGCGGGCGTTTGTCTTAGTAGGTTGTCGATGCTTTGGGAAGCCTGTAGTTTCAAACATTTTTTGGTAAGCAAGTTGTTATGAAGGAATGGACATGCATATCAAGCGCCTCCCATCCGACAGGGCGTCTCAATGGAGCCGAACCCCTGATAAGAATCTTAATGTAGCTGAGTCTCGCATGTCATTGTTCGCTATACTTTCTAACGCTTGCTGAAGCCACTCCGAGGAGCGCGGATTCTGGGTGCTAGAGCCTTGCAGATTAGCATGAATGCCACGGCCTCATTGCCAATCTCTTCTTCCAGTAGGCAGGGCGCGATGGGAATGCAGCATGAGGGCTGCAACAGCCCCATCCGCTCCCAGACGAGCCCAGATGCTCCACTATTGCTGGTGCAGTTCTCCAGCATGAAGGAGGATACCTGAAGCGACGCCTTCTTTTTGAGATGTACTTCTTCCTAGTGAGCCAATTCAAAGGCGCCCGTGATGGTGACCCTTGAGGGCGAGACGGACCCCCTCTTAATCGCTGAGAAGGACGCCCGGCAAATGGTTGGTGTTTGCCTGACCTGCCAAGTGCCCTCATCCTTCCAAGAAAGGCCAGCAATGGAGCTGACTTCAGGAGCTCATTCAGCGTGTCATCCCGTTTGTCATCCGCCGCTTCCTGCCAGACAACACGTACGAGGATTGGAAGGCCCGCTGCGGAAACGGCGGGCTGTCACAGAGAGCTAGACGACCAATCTCTTTGCGAAGCGCTCAGGTCTCAGAGTTGCTAGACCTGGAGTGAGCAGGGCAAAACGGTTGAGAAGCGCGGTTGGCAAAAATCTTTCCTTGCTACAGGAAGACTGCAAGCAGACGACTTACACGCGTGTGTTTGTTTCACTGTTGCAAGGGGTTGCGCCTTTCCTCACTCTAAGATTTCTTGAGCATCAGCGTGCAAATCTGAATCCGTGAATTGGCTCGCAGTTATCCGGCGGTGGATATCTCTGCACTGGACAGCCTGACCCCGAACCCTTTCAAAAACCAAATTCTGAATAGGGCTGAGCAAACATCATCCAAGCGACACTGTTTGGAACCCAAGTCCTACACCCTTGGCCCTTGGCCATGCGATCTGATGAGTCCGGGAAGAAAGAGCTTCCAGTGGCCGCCCCGCCAGAGGCCAGAGAGGTTGGGTGCTCAGCTTTGCTTGGCGTGTAGAAGGTGCACAAAACTGCCCATGCTGCGGTAGATTACTAGATGCCACAGGTCAGTTTGAGCATTGCAGTCCAGATTGTGCTGCGGAACTTGATCTTCCAGTCGATGCTAATGCCAGTAGCGGGACCGTTGCTAGCAAGCTTGCCTGCTTGGGCGCAGAGTTTTCATTGTCCAGGCCACTTCAGGATTCCGCCGGAAGGTCAAGAATCTGATTAGGCCGCGCACTGTCCAAGCTTTCGTCCACAAGACCGTCATTCACAATGTGCTGTCTGTATACCAGGAGTAGTTCGTGCTTAGCTGTTTGCAAAGCCAGGTGTTCCAATGTCCGTAGTCATGCTACTAGCATGTCGGTCAGTTACTTTCGCTTTACACGAATGGATCCATAGAGCTCCGTCTGCAGCAATCATGTGAGAAGGGTCAATATCATGGCCCCGATTCTTGGGGGTCACTGCCGTCAGCAACCTACAAGTTGAGGGGTTGGGTGAAAAGGGGCCCGGGTTTGACCCGTGGCCATTGTTTCCGTGAGATATGCTTGTGGAAAGGGTTGGGGCTTTTTCCAGGCGGGAGGCAGAGCCGACGCCCTCGCATGGTCCCTTCAAGCGCATCCCTCGGGTGGTCAGAGAAAAGCTTGTTTTTTGGCAAGGATTCCAATATATTCCGATGTTCCGCCGATGCATGGGCGTCCTGATTCTGTTAGTCGAACGGTTTGTTACTAGCCTTCAAGGATTACTGCACCGCAACTATTGTGGGGTGCTCGACAGTCTTGAGCTTCCAGAGCAGACTCTCTGCCAGCTGCATGCCACGCATATGCGAGGTCGTCAAAGCAACCAGAAGGGCCCGACAACAACGTGGAGCCTGCCTGAGAACTGCATAGCGTAGCGATGCTGCCATCTTGGGTTCTTGTCATCTTCATGTCGATCAAGACAAGCTAGCTTCGGCCGTAGATATTTCCTAGTTACTTACCCCGATGGAACAAGCAGCTCAGCTGGAAGAATGAACAGACATATCCCCGGCAGAAACTGCTTCTTCAGTCTTCGGGCTCTCGATTCGGTGGGCAGCATGACGTGATCCAGGCTTCTGTATCCACAGCGCAGCCAACATCAAAGGCAAGAATTTGCTGGCAATGCATTGTGCTAGCTTGTCTTTGTGGTACATATCGCTGGGCTCGTGGAAACCCCAAGGATGAAAATAAACCTATCACATAGTGCTGCATGATTGGGCCAACTATAAGCAGTTCAAAATGAGCTAACCCAAATTACTTGGAGAGGGCCGCTCAGGGTTGATGGTCGATGGTCCTTTTTCACACTGATACAGCAGAAAAACTTCCTCATACAATGTGATCGAGTATTTTGCTTTCAGACCGCGCTTGGAGTGCTTTCGTTGACTGCGTACGGATGCGTCGAAACTCGCGTTGCATTCACGCCCGCCTGCGTTTGCGTCCGCGTCCGCGGTTGGGGGTTCCTAAGATACAGCATTTCATATTGCTTGTGGACATATTTCGTCAACCTTTGTGGCATCGCATGCGAGGCAGCTTTTGAGCAACACTTGCTACAGGAGAAAAGGGGTCCATGATGCTGGTTTTTGTCGGGCCTTGGGCTGCAGGTGCCATCAGCTCCTCCAGTGCCGCGGTCAGCAGGTTGGAGCCCTGACTCTTGAAGACTGAGACTGTAGGTGCCCTAACGCTGGGGATGTGCCTTGAAGTCGAGCTTGAGAAATAATCAGCTAGAAGGCTTCGTGCTTTCATCGCCCTTGCATTAGGGTTCTTTTGGTGTGGTTGTTTTATTGTCATCCTTGCTGAGATGCGGGGAAGAACTATGACAGGTTCCTGCTATGCACGTCGTCGGCCATTCTGGAAGGCGGAGACGCGCCGTGAGCTTCCGGCTGGGGGCCTGCCCTTGCACTGTACCGGACATCTAACGAATTCAAATCCTATCCCACATTGCCCAAATTCAACCCAAATTCAATCGCTTTTCGCGGACTTTGCGAGAAATGTGGATTCAAGAATCAGGTTCAGTTGATTCTGGATTTCATCTCTCATGCCCAGGCCCGACGTGTGTCCGAGTTGAAGCCGTTGCCTTGTAATGTGCCAAGCTGAGAGGCCTGCGAGGCTGAGAAGAGGTTTGATTGAGTAACTGTGCAATACATAATGTTAGAGGCTTTCCCGTGCAAGGATTTGAGATGCTATCCTCGCATAAGCTGGATCAGCCTGCCAGTCAAGACTGCAGGAAACAGCCGTGCATTCCATTTTTCGGTGGACACTGAGGCCAGACCTGCAAGGGGCCGGTCACCACCAGCGTCAACCAGGCGTGGCGGGGTGTTTGTTATCTTATGCTTGTGGAAATGGGAAGGCGCTCGTAGGCAAACCGGCTCAGATCTTCCTGGATAGGGGGGGATGTGCGTGTTGCTTCAGCGGCAGTCGACCAGCCCCGCAATGTTCCTTCTTGGCTGTGGCACAAATGGTCTGCCTGTACCGTTGGCAGGCATGTTCGCAGCATTTCATCCTAACACGCTACGGAACTGGTTGTGCTTCAAAAGCTCTGTATGCTGCACCGCGCCTCAAATGCTGTCACCAAAATGTTCGGTTGGCTGAAAAGTAGTAAGGAGTTTCAAGCTTGCCGAGGTTTCACTTTGAGCCGCTCCCCTAGCGGAATTTAGGCAGTAGAATAAGGCTGACAGACAGAAACACATTTTGAATAGGAGGGGTTTCAGATCAACTTCCTTTCGCTTGAGGTGTGGACTAGGCCACACTCGATTCTTTGATTCGAAGCTGAGTGCCAAGTACTGTAGGTTCCACTGAGCGAGGTGCCTAAGCAAGGAGTCGCAGCCCAAAGCAGAGGAGGCGAACAAGCCTGAGGCTGCAGGGAGGGGTGGGCTGCTCGGGGAATGTTGCCATGATGTAAGGCAGACGCAAGCTATAGCAACAGGTCCATCTTTGATCATGCTGTTAGGCCTGTGCAAAGCTGCCCTTTGCAGGAGTCAACCTCCCCACTGGCTGCCAAGCAGCGGCAAGCCATGGCAATGTCATTCCGTCACGATTGGAGCTCCAGCTCTAAGTGAACTCATCGAGCTGGGGGGGGGGGGTGATAGCTGTACCGTTGAGCTCATCTCTAGATTCGTCACGCAGAGCAGGTTTTGAGCGGATAGTCACAAAATACCCTGCACTTTGGCTTGTCACAGTGCAGCGAGTTGAAGGTTAAATCTTCTGAAGCTTCACGGTCGGCCTAGCACTTTTGTCGCTATGATTCATGTTCGGATGACCTCGGGAGAGAGGCTGGCGGCTATTGCAGTTGAGGAGGTGGCTAATGTGGCATTGAAGACGCGCTTGCAGGATTTCTGTGACTGTACGCGTTTCAGGCAACGACTCCTGTCTGATTGTGGCGCACTGGAAGACCAACGCTTCGCCGTCACACGTGGATGAACTCCTCGATTCTGCTGCCGTTGGAGACTTGCCTCTGCTTGAGGCAGTGCTGCAGCGACCCCAAGATCCGAACGTCACTGGAAAAGATGACTGGACAGCTCTTCATCATGCAGCCAATTCTGGCAATATAACTGGAGCATCTCTGCTCCTGGAAGCTAGAGCTGACGTTGGCTTATTTTGCGCGGAGGGTAGGACATGCTTGCACTGGGCCTGTCGGAACAGCGGTCGTGTTGACACGGTGTGCTTACTGCTCCTAGCTGCCGCTGACCAGAATGAAGCCGACATCTACCGCAAGACACCTCTTTACCTGGCATCTCGGGAAGGCCATACGGATGTGGTTGGGCTGCTGCTGGGAGCAGGCGCAAACATGGACGCGCGAGAGGAGCGTGGTAAAAATGCACTTCATGTGGCATGTCGCGCAGGCCACGAGGACATTGCAAAGATGTTGCTTCAGGCCACTGCTGACAAGGATCTCGCTGACGCCTCCGGGCGAACCGCACTCCACGAAGCCTGCTTCGTGAAGGCCACGTAGGGGTTGTGTGTTTCTACTGCTTGAAGCCAAGGCTGACACAGAAAAAGTGGACGACACGAACAGCTATTCCCCTTCTCACGTTTGGCATTTTGGGAAGGCCTTCCGAGGATGTTGTGGGCTCGATGCAGGCACGCGCCAGCATTTGCTCACAACATGCCGATGGCACAACGCCACTTCATTGGGCTGCTGAGTGGAACCAGGTGGGCATGGTGAGACTGCTGCCCAAAGAAGCGGCAATGCAGCAATTGGCAGACAATGTCGCACATGGCAGCACAGTCCGGTCATCTGCAAATTGTGGGATTATTGTTGCGGCAGAGCGGCCGCAACTTGCTTGGGCGAGTTTTGCCTTCGGAACGAGGATCGCATGTGCGCCGACGCTGCAACTGTGTCTGCTCTTAAATGACCACGGACCAACCGCATTTCATCAAGCTTTTGCCGCAACGATGCCGGGGGTCGTGCGTGGTAATCCAAGGTTTCTCTTTTGGCGTACCAGCGTACCATACGGCCAGCATGACACATCTGTGTGAAACAGCTTTCACAGCAGTCTATCGACAGGGTGCTCGTGCTTCGTGTTGGGTGCCCATTGTTTGGGGAAGTTAGGATAGCTGAATGCTGGTCAGGTCTTGAAGTAGACGTTCCTGCTTGTCATCGTCTTGTTATTGTGGTGCTGGGACCGTTGTAGCTGCAGTCGCTGCAATCGCACTAGTAGTAATTTGCAGTAGCTATTACTGAGCTCTTTCTGCGCAACTTGCCTGTCGTGGTACACCAGCTCCTGTACTGGCCACTGGGCCGAGCGGCCTAGGGCCTAGTAGTTCCAAGGTTAAGGGTTTGTTGTGCTTTCCCGTAAGCCTCCGCTTCTGAACAGCCTGCCTTATCCGATCTTCTAGTTGCGAGTATCCCAGATTGCAGCTGCTGTTGCTACATTGACTTTTCCAGCTTTTGTTATCTGCACTGGTTTGTTTAGGGCCACCGCTGCATGAGAGAATGCTTGGACACAGCAGATGCTCAATACATTGGAGTGGCCTGCACATAGAGACGATGGCAGGCGAAAGCTGCACAAGACAGCTGAAATCTACAACGCACCTGTCACTGTGGGACACACCTTCAGGCCTTGGGGAGTGCTGCAGAGTGTCAGCTTAAACAATAGCTTTCAGAAAATTGCCTGCAGGAGAAAGCTTCCGCTAACGCTGAATCACTCCGGAAGGCCAATCGGTGTTGACTTTGTGGAGGGAATGTTTGGGTGGGATATCTCGCGTGTGGAGTTAACTATGATCTGTCATATGCACCGTGTGGCTTGCAGGCCGCGGGGCACTTCGCTCCCCCCAGTGCTACAGCAGGCAGCTCGCAGTTGAACAACGAGAGCAGCCAGAGGGTTGCATGCTTTCTAGAATTTCTATGCCTGTCCCGGGCAGGAGACTGCGGGTCCAGAGTCCGCCTCGAGGCAGAACACCGCAACCTCGCAGGATGCGAAGGCTCTCAGCGGCTCCAGGACCTCCGTGCTGCCCCAGGCAGGGGTGGGGATTCAACATGTCCACATCACTCCCACTTCTAGATGACACGACTGAACGCCACTCGCATTGCGCAAGCCAGGCCGACCCGTTGCCACGGTCGGAGTCAGAGACTGCCAAGGCCGGCGAGCGGGGCGATGTGTTGACGGCAAGAAGAGCGTTGGTGCGTGTTTGTGAGGTCGTGGAGGAGCAGCGCGATACAAGCAGACCTGGCGTGGCCCTAGGCACATGGGCTTTTTCATGAGTCTAGACGAGCGCAGAAAGTGGGTTGATGGGCGTTGCACCCCTTTGCTGTGATCAGAGGTGCCACTGTGCGGCATGACGATGATGTTCCCTTGAGCGAGCTCTTCCGACAAGGTGCTGCTGTGACTGCTTTGTGCCTCCAATTGAAGAATCGTCGTTTGATTGTACGAGGGTAGCTGACATAAACTGTATTTGCGGGTACCTCTAGTGTGTTTTTTGCACTTGCTAGGTTGGGAGCGCGCCCAGCAGGAAGCACGCAACGCAGGGCAGGATCAGCCACAGGCGGGTGCCAGCCCGACAGCAACATCCAGCCGGCATCTTGGGATGCGCATGGGTGCTTCTTAGAGGGACCCCACATGCGAGTACATTTCATGGAACGCAATGGGAGCCGGACTGCGACAGGGCTGTTCAAGACCATTGAATCACTTCCTGAAGATTCACTTCCTGAAGTGTGGTTGGAGCGAATTGATGCATGGTGACCCTGCCAAAGGTAGGTAGCCCTAGCATTCGGCCACAGTGCCCGACCCTGATCACAAAGCTAGTCGAATCGAAAAATCTTGACTCTGAGGTGTCAACCCCACTCAGCCCCAAGCACCCAGTGGGAAGCTTCCGATCTCGGCCAGCAGGGTACCCAGTGCTGCAAGTTGTGAGGCAGAGCGGATTTCTGCGAATCAAAATCCCATAAGTCCTGCCGCCTGCCTGTCCAGAAATGTAGGATCTTTGTCCTGCTTGTAGATCACGTGCGGTTTTTCTTAGGCAGGTGTAGTTGGTTTGATCAAAAAGGAGGCATGTTGTGACGTCCGGCCCAAGATCAACACCAGCAAGGTGCGACTGTTCGACATGCGGAAGGCATTCCGTTGAGTGCCCTCTTCCGCCAAGGCCGGGCCCAGCATTGGCACCTCAGCTACAATGCACAAAATCAGAAGGACAATTGTTTACGAGCAGTATCAGTGTAAAGAAGGTAGTGGTCTCAGTGGTGGGAGGAGGATGCATCATCGTGCTCGTAGCAAAAGGAAGAGTAGCGGAGGTGGAAAGGGCAGGCGGAAGAGTGCTCGCAAGCGTCCGCCAGCCCATCCACAGAGCTTCTGCGCAAACATTTCCCCAAGCTGCTCAAAGTCCCAAGCCTCAAAGTTTCCCTTGAGATGCACTACTGGTGCAGGCTGGGAGCAGGCTCAGCAGGAGGCCGCTAAGAACGGCAAAACCTTGCCTGGGGCCTCCTGTAGCTGCCTCGGTTTTGGGAGGGTGACACTAATCCTTTGCCGCAAGCCCTTGCATCAGCATCTTTTGCAATCGTAGGTCTCGGTCCCAGTCTCTGGACTTGATGCTGTCATGTTGTTGAGAGAAGATGTGCGGCCAATGCAAGCTAGATTTGCCAACGGGTTGCTGCTCGCCTTGTCAATATTCACGACTCGGAACAGAACTTACTACATATGCTATACTACATGTGACCTTGCACAAGTCAGCACAAGCTGTTGGCTGAGAGATGAGCACCAACGACACAGATATCGGAAGGTAGTGGAAACGAGCCAGAATCACTGCTAGAACGTTGCTTGAGCCCTTTGGAGCTTTTTGCCGCCATGCGACAGAAGTACAAGAAGGGGAAGCAAGGGAAGCCAAAGAAGGTTTTGGGACAAGATCATACACCTAGCAACAAGGCACACCGCAACAGTGCAGGTTCCTCCAAGGCAAAGCTTCGGAAACCAAAGCGTCCAAAGCAAGCGAAGAGCGCCCCAAAGCGCAAAGCCACGGAGCTTGATGAGGGGGACGAGGATGTGGGGGTGAGCTATCCTCCCGGTGTCAGCGAGGAGGATGTCAAAAGAGCTGAGGAGTACCGTAAAAAGCACCGCATTGTGGTGAAGGGCGTCTGCCCACCTCCCTTCGAATCCTTCGAAAGCGCCGAGGGCTGCATTGGCGTGGAGCTCGTCGAGGCGATGTTCCAACTGGCTTTTGACGCACCCACACCGGTCCAAGCCCAGGCATGGCCTGTGGCTGGAAGGGGCCAGGACAGGGCTTTTTATTGGGAGTATCATGGGGTCCAGGAGTGTGCTCAACATAGTCTGCCAGATGCTTAGGAGCGAGGGAACCTAATGCCCAAGAACCTAGAACCGCATGCCTTGTGAAGAGCAGAGGACTTGGTGGCTATTGCCGAAACTGGCAGTGGCAAGACCTGCGCGTACCTGCTTCCGATCATGGCGCGCATTGCAAAGACTGGCGTCAAGCAGAAAATCCTTCAAGGGGCGGGCAAAGATGACCGCCCTCCTGCGCAGCCGCATGCGCTCATCTTGGCACCAACCCGCGAGTTGGTTCAACAGATCTGCGAAGAGGCACTGAACTTTACAGATGGGGACGACGTTCGTCCCATGGGTATCTATGGAGGCGTGCCCAAAGGGCCGCAAGTGTCAGAGCTGAAATCAGGCATTGACTTGCTTGTGGCCACGCCTGGTCGACTGCGCGACTTCATGACGGGCGACCCTAAGAAGGGGGCATCTCCAGTTGTGACCGTCGAGACAGTTACTTATGTTGTTTTGGATGAGGCAGACCGGATGCTTGACATGGGCTTTGAGCCGGAGATTCGCTGGATTGTCGCGCAATGCCCACCAGGTGGGGACTGTGAGGATGTGCTGGCTGGGAAGGCCAGACAGACTCTTTTCTTCAGCGCAACTTGGCCAAAGGAAGTGCGCAAGAGCGCACTGCATCTTACAAGAAGTGCGGTGCAAATCCAAGTGGGTCAGGGCGTTGGGAAGCTGGCGACCAACACCAACATCAAGCAAACCGTCAGCCTTGTGAGGGACCAGGACAAGCTCATTGAGCTCAAGCGAGTCCTGGCTTCGCATCTGAAACCTGGCGAGACCGCTTTGGTTTTTGCTGGGAGGAAGGGCACCTGCGATGCCCTGCAGCAGGACCACTGTGACCAGCGGAATTAATTCGCAGTGCAACCAGAGAATGAGCATCCCTCAAAAGAAACCAGCAGCCCTTGCAGGAGCTCACGTGGGATCCCTTGAAGCCAGACGCCCCTGTTTGCGCTTGGTGCCGGGCGCTTCATGGCGACAAGGACTCCGGGAGCTTTCAAGGATCTGGCTCACGCCCCGTTCTGTCCACTTTCTCATGTGAGGTGCCCCTAATCGATATCTAAGCAAGCCTAAATAATTCATATCAGTGTAGCCTTGAGTATTGGAATTAGTCATGAAGTTCTGTTGGTTTATTACAACACAGTCAGAATTCTGCAGCCCTAGGCTCGAGCCTCTCTGACGTAGCCTCCGCCATGGCGCGGCGGCCAGGAACCTGGGCATTGGCCTTGGGCACTGCCTTGCTGCTCTACCAGCTGGCCTCTACAGCGTGCCTTGGCCAAGGCTGCGGGAAGGCCGTACTATCCCTTATGCAGTAAGTGGTACCATATCTATGTCTATAATTACCTCTCTCTCTCTATATATATATATATCATGATATGCACACGTATCAGGACATTGTTTACTGTTAGGGGGATGGCACGGGTTCATTATTCAGGAGACTCGTCCCCTTTTTCCCGAGTTACAGGAGTACGTCACAAGTGCTCTGCTAGATCCCTCTTCCAGAGTGATCTGGTGTGCAACCAAGCCTCCTTGCACAGAACCAGAAGTCTGCATGAAACCATGTTGATATGGATGTGATTCTGGTCACTGTATGCGGATGTTCGCATGAAATTAAGCTTGTTCTGATTCTTGAGTTGCTGATCATTGCCATCACTCCTCCTGATAGCTCTTGGATTTTGGGGAGGTTTGGTCCCCAACTCCCAGGTTCGTGCCCGGGCAGACTGGGGGCAGCGGCCGACGATCTAGTGCTCTCAGAGCGACCGTGGAGAGTGTGAGCACGGAGGGCGTGCTGTCGAATCAGGCCCTGTTTGGATTGGTTAGTAACCGGGATATGGGACCAGGTCAACCTAGTAATCCCTATACCCTGCCATCACTGACGAACAAGCGATGCACTTTCTGCGAATAATTCTTGCAAATCATGTGTCTTTGTGTGGGAAGCAGGCAGCTTTCTGCTTTGACAGCACGAGACCTCTGATGGTTTGAGGGGCAGGTGGAGACTTTCTGGTTCAATATGAAATCACGAAGACTACAGCTTTTGCCCGCTTTTGATGTGTCTAGTAGACTAGGCGGTAGTGGAAAGACCCATCCACAAACCAAAGAGTGCACTCCTGGAGGATTTCTTGTTTGGCTCCGGCTACGACCAGGCTGAACTCGAGGCCCTGAGAAGCAGTAACGTTGTAGTCTCAAACTCCTCCTTTAGGAGGCCTTGGACACAAGTGCAGTCATCCTCAAAACACTGGGACGGCATTAGCAGAAACCTCCCCAAGAAGCTGATTTTTGGATAACTGATAGACTTCCAAAAGGGTCTTGGCATCTCTTGGCGGGAGGCAAATTATTCCCTCCATGAGGATAATACATGTGTGGGGGTGGCCATGCTTGTAGGAATTCGCCGGGTGTAAGCCTACATGCAACACCTGCCATCCTGTGTGGGTAAGTACCCTTTGCCAAGTTTGTGGTATATCAAGTGGGCGTCCAGATATTCTACACTTCTTATCTGATCAAGCAAGGGACGCACTGGAAAGTACACCCTAAATCAAGAATCAGAATCGGCTTTTCCTATCTTGCCGAGCGACTTCTTAATTTGACTAGCACCACCATCTTGTTGCGACCACCACTCAGCCATCAATTTCGATAGAAGCTCATGTGAGACAGATGTTGCGCCTCGCCCACCTTGAAGGAGGCTGCACTCAAGCTCTCCCTTAGCTCCAGCGACGAACTTTGGGATAAAGTCGAATTTGGGCCTGATGCCTGGATTTTGTTATGGCAATACAGGCAATACATGTTGTCGTCTGCTGTGATGACCCGAGATTGTTTGTGTTCTAGGCAGCAAAGGCAATGCCCATGTTGTTCCCTACTCGCATTGCAAGGACAACAGGCCTGCCCACCTAGCGGCAGATGCAGCGTGGACGCCACTTCCCAAGGAGACCGGGCGTAACATGGGCTGAAAGTCAATCAGGCTGGCAAGGAGACACGAGGCTTTGCTCAAGACTTGGCTCCTTAAGTTTGGCTTGCTTTGTTGTCGCAGGAGGAGAGGTGGATGGACCTGCCGCAGTTCGTCGACGCGCAGGCGCAGATGGCGGGCAGCAGCGAGGTGACGTCCAACGCCCTCTTCACCGTCCTCTCCCAGGGCTCTGGGTATTTGGAGAAGCCCAAGGTGGATGCCGCACTCCAGCTGTTCGGCGAGTGTTGAGCACATCTTGTTTGTTACCGTAAGCTGGCTTATACCGTAGATCGTGACGAAGCACATCAAACTAGATCGGAGTGCAAGAAGCACTGCAGGTCCTGGGCCAACAATGACAAAACCCTAAACCAGTTCGGATGGGGCAGCTCGATGTTTTGGGCAAAGGCCCAGATAGCTTTCGGTTATGCCTGGCTCTATGGGATGTCAAGCTTCTGCGGCTACTTCTTTTTCTTCCGGCCGCCGCTGTTCATCTACCTTGGTATTGACCTTCTGCCTGGCACGCCGCAATGGTGGGCCAACTGAGCTAACTGAGCTCATGTGACCTTGTGGCTCGCCTGAATCTCGCGGCTGGTCGCCGAAAAGTGGACTCTTACTGAAGCGAAGGTTCACGGGCGACCAGCTCGCACTTTTTAACCAGGCCTTAGAAAGGGCTTTGCCTCCCAACTGTTTGTACTAGACTACTAGAAGATCACGATCGCCCAAGCGGCATAAACGTTGCGCAGACAGTCCGCATCACGCCGCATCGCCGCAAGAACCGTCACTACCCACCAAAGCTGGCTTTCTAGTCAGCTTCCTGCAACACCTTGCTGCGCAGGATCAAGCCGAGCGCAACAAGGCGCTTTCCGCCTTCCGTGGCTGGGCAAGAAGTGGGTTGTCTGGATGCAGGGGATAGCTTCCGCCTAAAGACGAGTAGCCGTAGGTTCGTCCAACTGCTTCCAAACAAGCTTTGGTCTGCACTTCAGAGAGACCAGGCCGATGAACACGCATGGCAACTTAGGTGCTATGACAGAGACACCACGAAAAGGGCAAAAAGGCCCACAGCATGTACCGCATGCAGTGTTGAGGAACAACGTGAAGGAGTGCTGTGGCAATTGATTCGCCAGGCGTCCTTGTAGCAACTGATGTAGCATCGCGCGGGCTGGACATTCCGGGCGTTGCTCTCGTGGTGTGCCTGCCATGTTTTTGTACTTTGTTGCAAGAGCAGCCAAGGGGGAGAGGAACAGGTATCACAACAGACAAGCAGGCTAAGATACCGGGCTGGATTGATCGGCAGGTGATCTTCGACTACGCGGAATCCAGCCATTCGCCGCAGGATCCCGCTGAAACGCTTTGTGCCCAGCCCTGGATCATATGCGAAAGGAGGCAGCCGAGTCCTACATCCACCGGATAGGACGCACAGGACGAGCTGGCAAGGAGCATATGCTAACATTTACCAAGCTCTTGCTGGCGGCCTCACCGCCTCATAGCCAGAGAATTCCTGCCACATGGAACCCGTTGCAGGAGGGAAGAGCGATCACCTTCTTTGATCCTGATAAGGCCTTCGGTTATTACGGATTGCAAGCATGGCTTGCAGGTACGTGGTGAGGGGCGTGCCAACTGCCAACAAAAATCCCGCAGATGTGCCATGCAGCAAGCAGTGATCCTTCTTGCCTTGCGTCCTATCTTTAGGTTAATGTGGCTTCGCTTTTCTACAGTAGCCTACAGTACATCATGCGCAGTCGCTCTAGATCGCGGGGCAACGCACGCCCTCGGCAGACAGAGAGTCAAACACGCTGTCAGGATTCCGGCGCTTCGCAGCTGATAAGCCTCTTGCAGTCCACCAACCAGGCATTCACCGCAATTCATGCTTGCTTTGCAGTCAAGACGAGGTGCCCATTTGTGTATAAGAATGTTCGCATGTTGACGCTGCCAGCATTCTGCTCAGTCTGATCATAGTTTGATCTCGCTCTCATTTGTGCTTTCGCTACTATTGTCTCACCTGTTGATGTTGTAGTCGTTGCTCTTGATTTTTGCTATTGCCTTTCAATGTGCCACAGCTGTCCTTTCAAGTAGAAGTTTGCGTATGCTGATTGCGATTGTTACAGTTGCTTGCACATAGCCATCGTGGTTGATCCGGCTGCCATGTAAGCAAGCAGCAGGAATTTAAAGGGATTGGGAAGGGCCAGACAGACCAGTTAGATGCGCTGTCGTTCTTTCTGCTTTGGCCACAGGCGGTTCCGCTGGAGCTACAGCAGCTGGCTGCCAACCCTCAGAACAAGGTCCCGCTACTCATTTTTCCAAATGGGCCACCGTGTCATGCAGGTGTTTTCTGGTTGCATGGTGCTAGATTTGACTGTCGTGATGGTAGTTATCAAGAAGAGTCCTGCTGTGAACATGGTCTTCATGGACCGGAGGGGAAGCTTTCCAAGAAGGAAAGAAGGGCGGCCAAGAAAGGCAAGGGTACTGACCCCAGGTTCTGCCATCCCATTATCAAATGGGAGGGTATAGTAGGGGAAGATGTAGCCGAGGGGGCCAAGGCACATATCCCAACTATCATGCGTGAATTGGCATTGGCAGCTGTGAAGGAAAATGCCTTCGCAGTCCTTGGCTGACTTTGAACCGAGGCCGCGGCAAAGGCAAGAGCCCAAAGAAGAAGAGCCTATCCAGCACAAGTTCTGTTGGCATTCATCAGTTTGTACATGCTTTGCCAGAAGGGGTAGTCTGTCCATTGACATGAAGCAAGATGCCGAGGTTTGAGAAGAAGCAACGCCGTGGAAAGAAGGGGCAGGAGCAAAAAAAGCTTGCCGTGGTTCCCAAGCGAACGAGTCAACAGCCAAACAGTAGCCGTATTGAACTGCAGTCGCTCAAAAAGTATCGACCCTCCAGAGCCCTGGGTGTGCAGCCATGTTACAGCCCCTCTCGGTTCCAGGTACCCCTCTAGCCAGCAGAATGGAATGTATGCTCTTTGACGAATAGAATGTAGTGCGAGTCACAATTCAGAAGAGGACTGCAGGTTGTGCAAATACCCTTTTCGCCTGAAATGGTAAGCACGTGGTTGACGCAATTCTTCAAACTAGGCTGGCCCAAGCTGTTTGGAAGTCGTTTGAGGTGGACCCGCCCCGAAGCCGCAGCCTGACAGCACTGCTTCTTCTGTGCGCGGCTTGGAGAGAGCTTTGCAGAATTCCGCGTGCGGCGGCTTGTAGGGAGCTGAAGCATTGGTGCCAGAATCTGACTGGGAAACCTCAGAAAATCACAGATGCTTCTGAGCTGTGACCCTGTCAGGAGTTCTCGCTGCCAGGCGCACCAGCATGGCTGCGGGCCAGAGCTCAGGCAGGCTTCTGAGCTGAATTGAATAAATAGGATGATGCATGAGGGACTGCAATGAAGGTTGGGCAGGGTGTCGACACTCAAGCAAGTCTCTCATGCTTCCGATGGCGCTTGGCAGGGACGGCGACTGAGTCCCACGCATCGAAAAGAGCAGCCACCGCGCCGACTCTCATCTTCCCCGCACCTCTGACAGCAAGAGCTGACTGTTATCACGCGGACCCAGAATGCCATCTTTGAAAGGCCCTTGGTTCCCATGGGCCGACTGCTTAGCGCGATCCAAAGCGGCTCGCAGGCACGGCTTGGGGAGGTTTTCCCCAAGACCAAGCTAGAATGCGGAGAACTAAGCAGTAGGTTACATCATAGTGGCTACTGTTTCATTCCCCAGCCAGACGGTCAGGAGACATCAAAAGATAGGAGTGAGTTGTGCCCGCATTTGGTTGAACAATGTGGCAGGCCATGACCTTGACCTGCCTCGAGGGAGTCAACTCGCTTCTGAGGGAGGCAGCTGGCTGTGTCGGACCCTAAGCTTACGGAGCATCAGCATTTTGCAGAATACATATATGATGTACGCAGAAATTGTGTGTACATATATACAGACACACACACACACATATACATGTGTATATATATATGTACCCTCTATCCATATCTGTATCTATCTATATACATATATCTATATATATATATATCTATCTATATCTATATTATATCTATACATAAATGTACACACAGTGCAGATACATGCACATGCAGTATACCATGCCGGACATCCTACATGACTCTTTGCAGTTGTGTTTTGAGCTCCTATGCTGATGTAAAGATGTCGAGGCATGCGTGACAACCTGATGAAACGCAGCTGGTCACTCCCAGGTGGCGACGACGGCCTGGGCATGGGATCTCACGCCGGAGGTCTTGCTGCCGGTAAAGAGTTGTGAGCCCGTGTTTTGCCACAGATTTCAACAGCTAAACGCCAGAGTATCGGCTCGGGGCAAATCGAAATGTCAATCACAAGGCATGACTTTGACAGCACCAATTTAATCACCCTGGACAGGACTGTCGTCCAGAGAACATTGCCCCGCTCATGGGCAGCAACTGGCAGAAAAATCAGAAGGCCAGCTCTTGACATGCACACCCAAGCTGAGAGTTGCAAACAAGGTGTGCTTGGGCACTTTCCTTGTTTATGCTTGAGCTTCTCTGTTGCTGCTTACGGTGCGTCACACCAACAGTGATGGTCCATGATCCTTGAAGATCCGAGCTAAGGGACCATATTTAAAGAACATTTTTGGGTAGAAATAATTTGGCTCCAAAGACTGGCTACAATTAGGTGGCTTTTCGTATGGGGAAAGGGACCGCATTAAAGAAAGTTTTTGGGCAACCAATCCTGACACTAATGATAATAGAGATTCAATACATCCTATTCATTTTCGTAAAATTAATGATGGAGGTCCAAGAGCCCCAATGAACTCAATGCAGTCCTATTCACTTTCTAATAGAGGCCCAGGAGCCCAAGGACCGAATGAATTTTTCCTTTAATCTGGCGCCCTCAGTTTCTTATTCTGGGCGGGGGGGGGGGCGGGGCCCCCCCAAACTGTTCCAGTGCTCGGATTAGGTCCCATACATGAGGTTTTACTAGCCCTTCGTGACCCTTATCTCTGGGAAAGCTTGCTGGCATCCAGGCGCAAGAAGTCAGTGATGAGGCGAAGGAGTCGGACCCGGAGTCCATGGTGGAGGCGACTTGCCATAGGCTGCCTGCATTGGTTGACACAGCACATGCAGACCTGGCAGGTGATCTACGACCCCGACTGGGATGTTTACTACGACCCTGAAACGCACGAGTACTTCGAGCTGATCGAGGAGGCAATTTCTGGTCCGCAAGCTGCAGGATTTTTTTGCATCCGCTTCCATTTCTGGTATGGCAATCAAAGCCAAATCGCTGGTCACGGGAGTGCCACGGACAACAAGAGCTTTGACCACCTGCCTCAGGAGCTGCAGAAGTGAGAGGTTGCATGCTGCATTCTCTCATTTCCGGAGCTTGAGCCGATCACTGAACGAAGGCGTACACAATCAACTTCTAGCTGCCTTTTTCCCCGCCAGATATGGATGTGCCAGTTATGTGGCCGGCGCCTGCCATTGTGGTTTCCTGTGCTGCTAGCATGAGGTGCTGAGATCCAGCCATCAGCGGCGCGTGTTGAAAGAAGCTAGCTTGCACCGCTTTCCGATGCTTTCCGTCCAGACGACTCGCAGGCATAGAGTATCAAGTGAGTAAAGTCGAATCACACTGCGGTCTGAGCTGCGACAGGTGTATCCCCGCATGTGACTTCCAAACGTTTGCTGTCATTTCACAGAGAGTCTCCAGATGAGGCCTGCAAGGCCTCAAAGAGAGCGGTGTCTCGTTGCTTCCTGAAGCCCGATGACATCACCTGCGGCATTTTGCTTGTAGACATCTAGATTCTGGCGAATGGCGATCAAATTTATTGGTGGAGAAGGATGCGCAACCTTGTGACAGCAGCTTTACCATCGCCGCCAGTCATCCGGCATTTAGCAGCACCTTTCAATCCGTAGCATATCAAATAGCCACATGTGCCTCAGTTGAGACGCAAATCTAAAGCGTGGCTGAAGTATGTTCTAGCCGGCACCTGCGCGGAGCTGAGCAACGCCCCTTGTGATGGCCCAGCAAGTAGCGACCTCAGCTGTCAGACCAGAAGGCATTACATATCCTGTGCTCCCGTTGCAGCTATTTCACTCTTCTGCGGTTTTGCCCAGGCGATCGTCAACGTGCTCATCATTGTGGGGAAGGACAGGCTCAGCCAAAATTCCGCGAATTTGTGGCACTAGCCTCGACTTCCTCATTTTGCCTCTGAGGATGATGTTCCCATCTACGAAGCGGACCTCAGTACAGAGGGCATCCGCGAGGATGCCGGAGTCCCCTGACACATGAGACCTGCAATTCAAGCAAATCACTGCCCTCCTCGCGGAAGGACAGCCCACACCTGGACCAGTTTGTGGTGCACGCCGCCCTGGACTTGGTTTGGACCTTACGTGATTTGGGGCAGCTTGCCAATCAAGTTCTGGTGCATGTGCAGGATAGCTCTGTAGTCGTTAGCATAATTCCTGCAGGAATGGGCAGAGTTCACCCATACGAAAGCAAGTTCGGATACTGCAGGTGGATGAGATGGTTTGGAGTACCTCATCCATGTTCCTCCGTGTGGTGGACAAGTGCGGACCCGAATCCCGAAAGAGACCGGATGGACAGAGACGGGGTCCTGAGGTTTAACGATTTCCATGTCTCGGCCTACTGCACCGCTGGACATGCTTGGCCCTTAAAACAGGCAGATCGCAGTATGCTTTGCTGAAGTTGCTGGATGCACCGAGGTGCGGATGATGTTGCTTCACAAGTTTAGGGCTTAAACATTGTTGTAACAGGGCTGATGCCGGCGGTCCTGCGGTAGCTTGTAAACGCATCCGTGGTTTCATGCTCCGAGGCACAGAAATGAGGAGGCGATCCGAGCCTTCTTTGCGGAGATCCACGACCTCTTCATCAAAGCCATGTTGAGTTGCTTGGATTCATATTCTGGGCATGCCAAGTATTTTGCTGGAAAGCAGGCAGGACAGACTGGCAGCAGATCTTTGTCTTCGCTATTTGTGCTCCTGACCCTGGAAAGCTAGACCATGCAGTATGAACAAGATTCGCCAGTAAAACAGAGAGGCACCCTGCTCCCCACCTCCATCCTCATGACAGCTATAGCTCACGCATCGAGGTCCTTTCCAGACGCCCTCCACACCCATCGAATCTCCGATATTCGATGCCAAGGAGCTTATCTCAACTGTAACCTACTCTGTTAGAAGCGATGGCCTCCGAATCTTGCAACATGTTTATCGACTGCGTCGCAGAGGTTCGTGCTGCTGGTCAGAGGTGCGGGCCTTCTTCCAGCTGAGGTTTACGCAATCCATGTCCAAGCCTGTTCAAGCCATCAAGCAGAGGTATTTTATAGGAGAAGCAACAACGTTTCTATGACCTCGGAGGCACTTCCGCGCGTGAGCGCGACCAACTTGAAGCTGCCAGCGCAAAAGACGAACTTGTTCTGGAAAGCCCTGTCAGTTTTCAGACTGATGGTCCAAGAGCGCAAACATGCTCAAACTAAACGTTGAAGATCGCCGTGACCGTGAAGTGTATGGCTTGGCTCTTGACATGCTTCAACCCAACTGCGCCGTGCAGACATGAAGGCAGACATTCGGAGTCGAGGCATCTCTTTATGCTGAGTTGCAGTGGCGCAGCTTTAAGAAGAAAACAACAGAGCACAGATACAACCTATCTCTCCTGCTATGCCGGGGGCGCATGGGCAACTCCGCCACTTTGCCCGTAATGCCTAGCCGAGTGGCGTCACAGAAGAAAATACATCAAATTGCCCAGAAGAGCCAGCAGAATACGAAGCTTGCCAGGGCTGCATGTGGGTGCGTTCACGAGGAGGATTTGACAGGCACGTAAACGCAAGCAGTCGTTGGTTGGAGATTTTGCAGAGTGGGATCGTTGTTCTGCAGCAGGATTCATGGAGCCAAATTCTTCTGCGCATGTGACACACCGAAGGTTTGTAAGTATCCAGCAGCACTTGAAGGGTCTTAGAATATCGCATGGAGCCTCTGAAAAGTTGTGGTCCACAGATGCAATAGTCTCAGTTTCCGAGGGCCACCATCAATAGATGCACTAGACCCTCACTGTGAGCACTGACATGAATGCACGCCATTGATGTACACGCATCCCAGCTGCCGAGCTACTTGTGCTAGACCCGATTCATGAAGTTAATATACATTTCTATGTCCCGCTTCTGCTGAGCCCTCCGAATGACAATTATTGACCACGCTCATCGACGATTAGCTTGGTCTCTCGGAAAGAAGGTGTGCAGAATACAGGTTTAGCTGTCTGAAGCCTACAGCGTGATGCCTGCAATCCACAGCGATAGCATGAACACACTGCAGGAATACGAGGACGAAAACTTCCAAAGTCCATTTCTGCCTACCTTCATCATTTCTGCCTACCTTCATGATGCTGATCGATATATTCCATTTTCATGTGGATTCCTCACGCACGTTCTTCCAGGCTCTTGCAGAGAACCGAAGAATAGTATGTGACTAATCGACCGACATTAGAAACTGCAGCTGCTGTAGTCTTCTTGCTTGGACATGTCTTTTATCTAAGATGGTGCCGAAATTGTGCAAGGTGCGATGCGTGTCCACGGTCTCCCAATGCTCAAAATCCAGCAGCATTGTTTTGTACCGCGAGCAACAGCAACAACAAGATCCACGCAAAAGCTGCCACCGCTACTGCTGTGTGCCACAGCGACAGGGGCATGGTCAGAACACTTGCAGCTGAGAGTTTTGCACCCGTGGTATTGCCTTGCTGCTGCTGCCAAATTGGAGGATCAGTCGCTCCTAATCAAGATTCATATAGCAACTACAGCCCGTGCACACTCTCGTGACAGAGGTTTTGATTCTTGTAGGGTCTACGCTTTGGTGGAGAGGCGCTGTCTTTCAATTTAAATGCCACAGCACAAGTGCCCTCAGCTGGGCTGGTAGGCCAGCAGCAGCTGCTCCTCCCGTGGATCGACGCAGGATGCTCAGATGTTGTTCGGTCATGATGGCAGGATCGCAGGAGCGAATCCACGTGCCCGGCGATCTATAGGTCTCTAGGCATGGGCAGTAACACATTCTTCAGCAGTCTTCGCAGCAAAGCAGTGGCATGCTTGTAGGGACGTTCGCCTATCATCAATTATGCGGGGCAGCCTCTGGGAGTCGGTAGAAGCAGGTGGCCGCTGTTGTGGGCCTCAATGAGGAGGTGCCTTGCCAACTTCGCGTTGAGAGAGGCCTTGACTTTCAGGGTTAGATCATTTGGGGTGTTTTAGCCTGTGTGCAAGTACGAGTTCGCGCGCTTTCACGTAAACACGTCCATCTGCTACAGCCTCCTACTGGTACAGTCGTTGAAGTTTTCACTTTGGAATAGACTGTGGATTTGCTTCCAATCCTCAACAGAATCCAACTTGAGCCGTCACAGCGGAATCTAACAGGGGTTAATTTTCAAGATACTAAATTAATGCTAGTATGTTCTGGTACTACGTTCGTGGCCTCAAAAGGTTGCGAAGCCAGATGCACTGACTATCTTTGGAAGCAATGCAAGAACCTCGCACTCCAAGCACAGGGAGACTTCTGAAATCGCCAGGGAGATATCAGTCGTCACGAGCGCGACATGCCGTTTGAAGACTGCTGGCAGTCACGGTTCATGCTGGCACAGGTTTGTGCTGCTGAGAAGCTTTCAGAGCCTAATGCTGGACACGTGTGCTTCAACGTGCATTTCGTGTCGCCAGGGCCGCTGGCTCCAGAGAACTGAGTGGGAATGAAGGGAAGAAAGAGAACCGCACCCACGATAGCCATAGCCATGGTTCTTCAAGAGTTCGAGATAAGACGCAAGATTGGTGGCGCGTTCAGGGGGCAATTATTCTGGCGGCCAACTGCGCAGACATGTGACCTGCGCTTTGTGATTAGCTACGCCAAATCAACTTTCACTCAGCAAACGTCACACATGCAAACTGGTTGTAGTTGTGTTGGCATGCCACTGGAGCAACGCAGCAGGAAAGCATGCTTAGATAAGGCACCGCAGCAGTTTGAGCATGGAGTCATGCAGTTTCGCTTGCAGCTCCTACTCGCCTGGCTGGCCTTCGCTGAGACCTGTGAGAGGACATCTGTGGGAGTCGTTCGAGCTATGTAACTAGCAGGGCCCTTGCAAGATGTGCACGTCATGCTCACTCGACGGCAACTCCACCGAAAACGCTGTGAAGGCGATGCCCGCTGGGGCAGCACTGGTCCCCTGAGCAGGATTTTTGCAGGCGCCCACGCACAATCTTCATCTCTCATGTCAGAGCCTTGCAGCCTTCCCTAACTGCATGAAAGACGTGGAAGCTGAATTTGGGAGTGCATTGCACGCGACCCTAGCTGATTTTTCAATCCGAATTGTTTGACTTACATGGTGGAAGCCAATTCGAGATGTGTGAATATGTGGAGGTATGACCAGGATGGTCAAATCTACTGCTCGTGCGGCGAGGTTGTCTCGGTGGACGGCAGTGCCTGGCTCAGCCATCGGGGTTGCTACTCACCAAGGGCTACTCACCAAGGGGCCAGGACCCACAATCTTGATGAAAACGGCTTGGATTGAACGATGCAATTCAAGTGCTTTATTCGGTGTGGTCTGCGCTTTGCCACACGCAGCAATAGCAGGAAGTTGTGTTTTTGCCAGAGGTCGTTAGCTATCAGCAGTGAGTCTCTGAGGTGCTTGCCAGTCATGCTCACAAGGCCTGAATGGCTTGATGGCTTTTATTGGCTGCTTTTTTGTTGTGCAAGGGGTTTGTGAGCCGGGACTATGCCGAGAGCACGTCGCAAGAAACAATGAAACATGAGGTAGGTGTCAAAGTTAGCGGCACAGGCGACGGTGGGGCTCCGAATAGACTGTAATGAAATGTGCATAGCAGCCTATGTAGTACTACCAATAATGGTGATAGTAAGCAGGATGGCAATCATATGCAAACGGGAAGGGATATGCAGAAGTGAGTGTTTGTCCCCTGGACAGGTCCGCATGGCCCTATAACACTTTTGAGCAACAACTGGGCATCCCCTACTGCAGATATTTGAGAATCCTGCATTGCCCAGGCAAGGTCTCAGCACTCTTAGCAACTTTGGCTCCGCCTTTCGAAATCACCCCTTTCAAAAACCAGTCCTCCCTTGATCTGAAATATCCCCCCACTTACAGATGTGAGCAGGGCCCTTTGATGCTCACCACGCCTTCCAGCACTGCGGCTTTGGCAGCGCTGCTGCGCCCAAGCCGCTGCCAGGGCCGGTGACATTGGCCACTGGGCACAGAAAGGGCCAAAACTTTAGCTTCCCTAAAGATTGAGTGATACCTTGTTGAGTTACAGTGCTAAGGCCCGAGGCTGTCAAAACTTGGGCGGTACATACAACCTGCTCTACCCAGTCTCAGTTCCTAAACCTTCCTGGGATGTATGCAAGGCATGCGACGCTTTCAGCCTCCGGTTTTCATCCGACCCATCGGGAAAGGAGCGCAGACAAGCCAATTTTTCTGGTAGTTCAATGATGTCTTCACCTCCAAAGCGCAGTCCCACCAACAAGTAGGTTTGGTTTTCATGCCGTGAGGATCAACTGCTGGTCACGAGCACCAGCGGGATCACCAACTTCCTGGGTGGAGGCGCCAATGGGTAGTACTTTGCGGTCGTTGAACTCATAGCCTGCCAGCTCTCTACCTGCGCACCTTTCCAAGCACGCTCCCATCAAGCTTGCCCTTGTGACGGCAAGGCAGAGCGTCGTCAGAGGGAGGATACTTTGTGAGGTGGGAGCCGTTTTGCCGGAAATTGTTGCAGGTCAGCTCATTCTGGGGCAGTGATGCAACCTCACAACTTCAGATCAAGCGGCTTCGCTCAAAGCTCATTGCTTCAAAGCAAAGAGTAAAGAGTGAAAGTTGAAAGCGGCCAATTACGCATGAACCTAGCAATGCCGCAGGATCAGGTGTTTCACGTTTGCATGTAGCCTTATGTTCGAAGCGTTGGATCCTTAGGGGAACAGCATCATTTTCGCAATGCCACTTGCAGAAGCTCTGGACGGCTTAGTGCTTTCTCCGAACCCTAGCTCATTGGCAGGTTTTCGTTTCTACCAAGCGGTTCAAGCCAAAACGAAGCGGCAAGCAGTCGGGAAGTTGCGAAGAACGTGACTCTCTCAGGAGGACCTCTTCTTTGCAAGGGCTTTGTGCAGCAGAAGCTGGGTCCACGTACTCAGACATGTTTCCTGGTAGTAGCTGCTGATGCTACTCTGATCAGGAGGGGAGCAAATTACAGTAACCTCGTTGAACGACGAGTATGCAGTGACCTTCAACGTCACATCGCGCCGAGATTATATCAAGTTTGAAGTGGGTGGCTCCAGAGGCGCGAAGAGTGTACAATACAAAGCTCCGCTAAACATTTCCAAAGTCTGCTCTGGTTGCAGTTCCGACAGGCTTGTCGTCAAACCTCTGGGAGCCTGGCCAGATGGACCTGGAGTTAGAGCTCCTGGTCAATGTCGGTCTCGATCCCTGGCTGGTAAAGATAGACAGGTAGAGCCATGCAGCCATACCCCGGCGAAGGGGTTGTGAATGAGGAGCAGGTGACATAGCCTCAATTTTTTGTGCTAAGGTCTAAGGTCTTAATCGCAACGCATGCAAGATCATGCAAGATCATGCAACCCTACTGAATTAGCATGACCACCGTCAACCTGCCAGAGCAACCTACTGGCTTCCTGAGGACGGCTCTGAAGCCGAAGCGAATTGGGCAGATGCTGGCCAGGCACAGCGAAGATCAGAAAATCCAACAAACCTGCAACGAAGCGTGTGCGAAAGTTTGAGCGGCAAGCCGCTGCCAGGCCTCCCTGCCAGCGCTGCTGGGCCCGTGGGGCGCTGTGGGACCGGAGCAGTAGAGCAGTAGGTTGTCGGGGGTTGCAGGGGTTGTAGGGCTTGAGATGCTCGAGTTTCCGGCAGCTCTGCCAGCTTTGCATTGCATTGCATTGCAGGACTGCTTCCTCTGGACTACTTGGCGGATTGCCAGGCTACGAGTACTGGGCTCAAAGCACGCTGGACCGGCGGGCTGCTGGGCGCCACAGGCTGGCAGACATTGGCAGGTTGTGAGAAGATTTCTAGCTTGGTCTAACCTTGGAAGATGCTGCGGCTGCAGGAGGGCCATCGGGGGCTGTGGCCTTGGCTGCGGCTGCAGACACCGAGCGCTTCAGCCGGGCAGTGGCTGCGATGCAAGGCGCATGGAGCAGGATCTGGCTTGCGAGCTTGCAGCTTGAAACGCTTGTTGGGCAGCGTACTGAAATCCAGCATTATTTTCTAGAAACCTTTGGACTTTAGACTGCATCAATAGTTTGTTTAGACGGCTGCATTAATGGTCTGTTTCGACCGGGAGGATCCAAGCATTGCAGAGTTTTGCCATGAACTTGAACCCACCCTCCCACCCAAAATCTTGAGGCATGCAGATCCCTCCAACGTTTATCAGAGAGTACTATGACGTCTAAGATTTTTTAGCAGAGCGTATGTTCGACCAAACTGGAGGTACCCAGCACCCAGGGCCAAGGGATGCCTAGAGGTCCTGTAATGCCTTTTGCTGACGAGGCAGCGAAGCTCACTGGCTACCAGGGCCCAGGCAGCTACTCTTCAATCTGACTGTGAGCTGTCTGGTACAGGAAGGCTGAAGCTGCAAGTGGGGTTTTGAAAGCTCTGGGGGCTTATGTTTGTGTTTGTAGCTTATCACAGAATCATGTTGAAAGTGTGAGTTAAGTGACGTTGGAGATGCGCAACTTAGAATTAGAAGCCGCAACAGAGCTTGGTGAAGAGACTCTGCTCCTTGCTCAAGGCTCTTGGGTGTTGGCCTGTGGTTGAGACCGACAACATCGGCAGAGGACGGTTTGCAAGCAAAATCACAACAAAGGAAAAACACATCTACGATATTTCGGCGAACGGTTCACTCACCTGTCTGAGACACGACTGCCGTTTTTAAATCCTCATCCGTCCGCTGTTAAAGTAGCTAGCTGCATGGAAGGCAAACTGATGATTGGTCAAGACTAGTTGGCAAGTTGCCGCTGTTCACTGCAGCAAGTCTGAGTTGGGCAGCGGCCCCCCACAGGGACGATTCTCCAGTCCACTCCGGGCTCACCCAAACTCCCTGCGCGCTTTTGAGAGGACTCGACACTGCGGCGTGCGCTTGTTGCCTCCCGGGGCCGGGGCCTCCGCCTCGGAACGCCCGGTGCTGTGCAGGCCAAGGAAGGGGTGCCTGGGAGAGAGTCAGGCTTAGATCATCTTGGATCACCTGCTTCCCCTGTCAGGTGAGTCCCTTCGAGTTGCAGCTTGAGGTTGGAGACTTTGCATGACAATGTAAAGGGACGCCAATGTCGGAAGCGAGTACTTTGAAGTCCTTTCCATTCCCGTGATGTGTGCTGCTGGCTTCATGTGAGCAGTCGAAATCTGCCGAGGCGATGTGAGTTTTTGTAGATGAACATCTGCAACGCGAGTACAGCCACCAAAAGGTCCAAAACGAGCCTTAGTGTTGAATCTTGTGAGTAAACTCCAAAGTATCTTGAATCACAGGCCGGGAAGCTTCAACGCACAGTCTTAGAGAGACAGATGGAAAGTTGAACGACACCCTGCCACCATTTGATGTGAGAGAGGACTACTTCCATATGTAAAGGTGAATGCCTAAGTCCAGCGAGCGGCACAGGTGGCTCGACCGCTTGGCTGCTTGGAACCGGGGAGCTCATTGTTTGAGGCCGCAATGTTGAGGTTTGGACGCGTGCCACATTTTACAATATGTTGCAGACTCCAGCTGGATCCGTGGCACCTTCGTGCATCCAGAGAAGCGCAGGTGGCCTTAGCTTCGGGCAGTTTCGACTCCTTGGGGGCTGGGATGCTGGCGGCTCCGCTAGATTCGAGCGCTGCCGAGGCCCGTAGAGATGGGAGACAGTGTACTGTGTCGCCAGCATGTATAAATTTGTTTTATGACGTATTTTTACACGTGCACTCACGCACGTGCAAGGGATGTAAGTAGTGCAGACATGTGCAATCACATGTTCAGCCTGAGTGTGCATTTGGAGCAGCCGGGGAGTGAAACCAAAGTCAAGATCAGCAAAACCTAGCCAACAGATAGCTATGTCGTCATACCTCCCAGCTTTCTCTTGTCAGAGGCTTTGTTCACGCCGGATGCAGCAACAGCAGGCCCATCCGCTTGAGGGGACTGCAACAGTCAGGGTGACTCCTGGCCTGAGCTATACGTTGCCTCGTCTGTCTTCCAGAGGCTTTCCAAGAGCCAAAGTCTCTGCAAGCATGGTACGCTCAGCGCCTTGCTCCATGCAAGCGAAAAGGCCTTCTGAGCGTCATCAATGCCTCTGCCAGCATCGATGGCTTCACCGAGTTCAGGCCAGACTGTAGTGACAATTTCTCCTTCAGATGTCCGTAGCGTTAGTAGCAGCGATAGCCAGCATGCAGGACAGTCCGACTTGTTATGGACATTCGCAAGTTAGTTTTTGCAAAATCTTGTCTCACCTATCCCCCAAAAGTTTGAGATTGTAGTCGTCGATATGACTGCTGTGGTCCTTAAACCCCCGAGGTTTGGGTTGGCAATGGCAACGTCTCTTCCAGGATTTTGTAAATCTTACCGGAAGATGCGAGTACTGCCAAACGGCATCTCAACCGCTCTCGGACACCTTAGGCGTCTTTATGGTGGACGCCGGAGAGCTATTAAGTCCTTTTCGGCAGAATTGGTCCCCAGAACCACTTGTTCCAGCGATTCTGCTTAACGTTCAGTAGCCGTCCATCCAACAGCTTCAAGCATGGAGTTTTCAAACAATGAATTTCTTTGCGCGGGTCATCAGCGGCAAGATCTTCCGACTTCAGCTTCGCTTTGAAGCGTGAGGATTCATGTCATGACGCTTGAGATGTTGAAGGATCAGGCTTTGTCTTCACGCTTGATTGTTGAACTTACGCTTTACTGCAGTGATGGCTCAACTAGCACGCTTTATGGTGGCGCCTACCACCAACGATGCCAGACATGGCAAGCTGCGAGATCGAGGTTCTTTCTATCAGAACCTTGTCGTTCTTTAGTATGTCTGCAAGCATCAGCATCACTTTTTTGCTCCCATGCTTCATGAAGTTGGGCGGCTTAGTTTGGCAAGTCCAAGAAAGGTTCAGTCAGTCTAGTCAGGAAGATTTGCGCTGCCCTTTAGAGTCATCAGGTCATTAGCTTAGCTCATTGCCCAGTATACATGGCCTGCACGGACACGGGCGCACGGTTTCCCGTGCTTCAATCGCTCATGATTCTGTGCTGCCTCATGACCATACCACAGAGTTCGTCGGAGAATCAGACAATGTAAGCCTGCGACTGCTCCATTGCTAGATCTGCTCAAGGCTACTAATCCTAGTACATGTAGGTATTTAGCATTGATAACGAGGCTTCGGTCCGTTGTCGAAAGTCATCCATTTCCTGGGGAGCTGTTGGCTGAAACGTTTGGTTTCTGGCCGGATTTAGAAAGCAGGTCCCTCGTAAGCGTTCCCAGAAATCACCGAAAAGTGTGCCATATTGGGGTTCTACTTGATGCTCACTTCGCTTCGCTGCAGGTCGGTCTTCGCGCAAAGGCTGATCATGTTCTAACTTATTCTGAATGAGGCTCTCTCAGGCTCTTCCAGGCAGCAGTAGAGTGACAGATGTTGCAGCTGACTTGGGGGTTTAAGGCATCTAAAGATTGAAAAGCAGGATGGTAAGGCAGGCAGGGGAGCCAAAAAGGAAGCAGGAGGCTGGGACTAAAAGAGGAACTCACGGACGGAAGGAAGGACCTGGACAGCACGACAGACTTAGTTGCTGGAGACCTGCGGATGCAACCACAGAGTGGTACAAGCAGGAAGAGTGCTTTGGGGGAGCCGAAGTATCTGCCACAGTAGCTTCCTTCATGTTCATCGGCCTGAAGCAACTGCCGTCTGCAGTCAAGCAATTTCCAAATCCTGCGCGCACTACGTGTAATTCAGAAGACCTAAATACTCCTTTTTGCACATCAAAGAGGCCAAGCTGCAAGCATACACCCCAAAACAAATGAGCCCTGCCATGCAGCTCCCTTTTACATTACAGAAGTGCTTCACTCCTGAAGCGACAAGAGGCACGGAACCACCGAGGCGACGGGACGGCCCTGGAGTTGTGCCGCCTTCCAGCCCTGGACGACGCGATGTGGGCCGAGGTGCAGTCTATCTATGCGCTGGATTCGCGTTCTAAATCGCACAACGAATACTGAATCTGAAAGAATGATAAACAAAATTCTTGGAGCAAAAGTGGGTTTCTAGAGCTAGCTGAGAGTCAAAAGGATAAATGTTAAATGTGCAGGAAAAGAAGGCTTTCTTCTGGACACGGGCCGAAAGGGAGTTCCAAGATTAAAGCTGAAAACACAGCTGTTTCGGCTGCGATCCTCTGATCGGCGGAGAGGTGACGGTTGGACGTTTTTGTCCAGTGCAAGTTTACGCGTCGGATTCGGAGATAGTTGACCGTCTTAACTTTGGCCCCAAGACCTGCTCGGAAGCAGGTAATGCTAACAAAAAGTCTTAGAACAAGAAGGCCTGGCTATTTCTTGGAAGGCAAGAAGACACCTGCTTTTCTGCTACTTTTTGTTGGGGGGTTTGCATGGTTTAAGGTGGCCTGGAAATTGGAAACCTGGTTTCTGTATCAGAAACGTTTTTTGCAACAAATACTTTGAAACCCGGCCGTTGAGAATTACCTGCTTTGAAGCAGGCTCCGGAAGACCCAGGTGTCGATCCTAACTTCAACCCACACTTCAATCAAGAATACGCCGGGTTGAAACCAGTCAGCCTGCCTGCGCCGAGAGCAGGTCAAGGCCTATGTAGCGCGCAATCCAGAAACTGCACCTGGGCTGCGCTAAAGCGTGAGTTGTTCAAATGTGGGCCACACGGAGTGTTTGGGATGATGCCTGTGACGTGGGGGGATAGATCCCCACCATGTGGTCCCCCGCAGTGCCTTGTTGTTCTCATGTCACCTCTGTTGTGGCGTCAGTGGAGCTGAAACAGCAACTCAGCTTTACAAGACTGGAATTGACAAGGCGAAGGCTATGCAGGGCTTTGCCAGGAACCCGGAGGCCGGGCTCTATCAAGTAGGACACCATGCTACCAAATCCATGCCTTTTCCTGATGGCAAGGAAGGTAATTCCTTTTTCCACATGTCAGTAGGACTCACAAGTGCCCACTCTCAGAGTCGCGCCATGCAGCTTTGGCCAACGCTGTCGTCTGACTAGGCCATGCAGGGTTGGCTGCAAATGCGAGCAGCTGTACCTCGACCAGCATCCCAGAAGTATCCAATTCAACGCTCAAGATGTACTGTATACCAAGCTTGACTCAGACCGGGACAGCATGGCCTCAGGTCTAAGCTCACTTGATATTGCCGAAAGGCCACAGCGTGTGACTCTAATATTGATCCGATCCATTTATCTACAGGCATTCCGTGTATATGTTTCTCGAGGCATGTCTACAGAAGGACGACGAGCAGCTAAGGCTGAGCACTACCAGATCGCCCTGGACCGCCCTTGGTCTGCAGCGGGCAATATTAGCCAGCTAGCCTTCCAAGACTGTAGGCAGAGGCAATTGAGGGAGTTCAAAACTACCATGGACGAACTGCATACTGTAAGGCCGTAAGGGGCCATTATGAGCATCGCTTCCTCATCCCAGGTGACCTGGAGCTGCACAACTTGATTGAGGCCCTCGAGGCTGATGAGGTGCGCTTACTGGCGTACTGGGCCTCTGATGTGGATGCTCTTAGACGTTGTAATGATTAGTCTCAAAGTACAAGCCCGACTAGTAGGATGAAGATCTTATCTTTCTAGCCAGGCTAGTTGTAGCCAACATTCGCAGGTGCCGCTTCTGATTATTCAGGCTTAAATCTTGCCTCTGAGGAGCTGGCACCTGTCTTCATGGACCTGCGAAAGAATGGCATGGAGGCCTGGGGCAGGGGGCATTCTGGGACACCAGCAGTAATCAGTGATTTCCGGGGCTGCGCAGCACGGCTACAATGCTCGTACCGGTGCCCTTGTCATCCTTGCTGTTCTCTTTGCAGTTGCTACTCCGTGTTCTCCTGCAATGCTTCTTCAGGTTTTAGCAGTGCTCATGGACAAGTGAACAAAAAGTGGGATTACATTGTTAGCACAAAAGGTTGACGCACAGAGACCAAAGACGCACCTGATTGGCAGGCTGCCATGAAATATTCAGATGAGGCGCTGATGCTCAAGATCAGCCGCTGGGCCAATCACAAGTTCATGGTTGAAGAAGGAGAGTTCGCAACACGCTTTGCAGCTGTGGTGCCGCATCTTTTGCCCCCCCCCCCCCGATGGGGAACCGGCGCTCCCCAACAGCAGCTGCAGCCGTTGTTTCCTCGAAGCCGTGCTACGAATTGCATGTCGCATATCCTGCAGACTGGTACTGCTTTGATGGCTGGCCAAGGCAAGAAGTTGCGAGAGTATTTGGGACAGTGGGAAGCGAGCTTTGGCTGAAAGCGACCAAACGGCTCCTGACTTGCTTGCTTAGGCTAAGAAACAGCAGTGGAGACAGGATTGAATCCTGTCTGTAGCTAGACATAGCAGCCCTGGGCTCCATGGGGCATTGCTGGAGTTGTAAGCGCTCAGGATCCTACGCAAACTCGAGCAGATGACTTATCCCTTACACCAGGCAGGGCATGTCCATCAAAATGCATAGGGATGCCAACCGAATCTATACGCATCAGAAAAAGCAGGGCCTTGTTCTTGGGCAAGGCTTTAAAGCTTCCATGCTTCCCCAACTTGACCTTGCAATGTACATGCCAAGCAATTGAGCTGGTTGGTTTTGGGGACAGCTTTCAGCCTCCCCACTTGCAGGTTGCCAAAGAAGGCGACTCACGACTGCTCCAGCTCCTACTCAAGTAGCCGGGCTCGAGAGAATCAGACAGGAGTTGGAGACTCCTGGACGTAAGTTCGAGTAACTGACCCCTCACTCATCTTGATAGACATGCCATCGCAGTCCTTTCTGGGGTTCCACATAATTGGATGTTGGCCATCTTGGAGGCTAGCAGGGTCTCGTCTGTTGACTCTTGAGGGCTCGAGATTTAGGCAGCCCCTTAGCAAAGCCATGTCCATCAGTTTTGTAGGCACCAGCTTAGGCGCCGTGAGAATCGCGAGGAGCCCGTGGACTACCAAGATTCCAAGGCAATGCTGTTGTGGATGTTGACGCTGGAAGCTTTTCTTGAGAAGTGGTGGTTTCAGCCTGATTCAGCGGTTGCTTCATTCACTCATGGCTTCTTGCCTGCAGGGCATCACCGCTTTGGGCTATGCGATCTGGGCCGGACACTTGGAGGCCACCAAGCTCCTAATTGAGCATGGCTGCTTGGACTTGGCTTAGCGGGAGAGATCGCTGAATGGGTTTCAGGTAAGTTCAATGCAGAGGTGACGTCCTCGTGTTGCTAAAGTGCAGGCTGGAACAGGGTAGATCTCGGAGCAGTTGTACAACTGCTGTTGCGGTTGTTGAGATTGCCCTCCTTCCGCAACTCATAGTCAAGCTGAGGAGCAGATGCTCTGCTAGTCGCGCCTGGGACTGGCAAGGGGGTTGTGGCTTGTTCCGTCGAGAACCCATAGTCATCATGCGGCTTGACGTTGTTGAGAGCTGGCTCTGGCGCACCCCACCCTCCAAACGCGTCATCAGGACAGCTTTGATAACACCTGCGTCCACTACGCAGCGGGGTACGGACATGCAGAGCTGCTGCTGGCAGCAAATGGAACTTGCAGCCCCGTCTTTTGCATCCTGTGTGAGGTTTTGTAGATTGCAGGCATGAGATGTGGTGTCAGTTTGAAGCATTTGGTTGTTGTGTCAGGTTGGAGTATTTGCTCGAATTTGGCTTCAGCATGCACCGCACTAACGCGGCAGGCAAGCAAATGGCACACTCACGGATGCATGCCAGGCTGATTACTAGCTTGGATGCGGCTGCAATCTTGCCATAGGTCTCACACCCATGGCTGTGGCAATGCAGAGCAATCAGGACCGGGACGCGGCGCAAAGTTCATGCATTTAAGCCTGTTGGGATGGTGTGTAAGAGCTTAATGATGAGTCATCACAGTCATTATTGGACAGTGATCTGCAGGAGGCAACGATACTTGTCCTCGACACTTTCGGAACGGTTTGAGCGCTTGGCCGTGGTGAAGTTTGCTCCAAGGTCTGGCCCTGCCGAATCACAGTTTGTGACCGCAAGTACCTAACAATGCATCGTTTTATCTTGTTGTTCAGTTGCTGCAAACAACCTTCTGCAGGAGCACTGCATGCAGGGCTTTGGCCCAGAATACGCTGGACATGATCAGCAAAGTGCCTGACAATTTCTGACACATTTGTTGATACAGCCCGCTGACTTCAGCTGCAGCTGCAACATGGGCATTTGAAAGACAGTTTGGGAAGGATCCGTACTCTGCAAGCTAGTTCATATTGATGTGGGCTGGCCATGACCCATGCGGATAGGGTGGTCCAAAGCATCAAATGCCCTCAGCACGGAAGTGCAAGCGACGACGACGGTCACTCTTCTTAGATGGCTGTCGTAGCTGTCTTCCAACCTGCTGATTGGCGCGGACTAGCTTCAGAATGATGTGCTGCAAGATGCTGCCAGCCGACATTACACACAGATATGCAACTGCTCATTTTCCGCAACATAGGTGTAGGTGATGTCTCGGCTCTTGTTCTCGGAGTGTCGGCTTGTCAGCTGAGCGTTGTGTGCCAGATGCCCAGACGCTTTTATCATAAAGCCATGCGCTTTCCACAGCTGCTCGCAACCCGGGAAATGCACTTTCTGGACATCTGTTTCCTCTGTTCCTTCCAGGTGACGTGCACGGGCCAGCGCCATGTCCAGCAGCTGATCTGATACCTCTTTCCTCAAGAAGGTTACTTGATGTGCAGTTCGGGTACATAGATTGAGCTTGCAGGCTTACAAGTCTGTTTTCGTTAGGCCAAGACAGGTCATTGCCTACTTAACTATGCACTGTCAGTCTTTGGGCAGCGCAGATTTTCTCAGCACGGCCGAGAGCGATTAAAGGCGCATTCTGCATTTGGTTTCCTGGACTGTTTCTCCGATGCTCGAAAATATCGTTGGCAGTCGTGGAGGCTTCAAAACGTTGCTTTCAAACTGTGTTTTGCGAACATGATGCCTGAAACCGGGCATGCCAGATGATGGTCATGGGGCAAGTCGTTTTTCCAGAGGCACAAGTCAGCCCTTTGGGCCGTCCCAGTCCTTTCAAGCCTCTCAAAGTTATGTTACAATGCTGTGTCCGTTTGAACGTGGCCAGTGCTGTCCGCCAAGTGGCCCATGTTGGTTGGTACTCAATTCCTTGTCAAGCATCTTGTCAGGGGACCTGGCGTTGAGAGCACAGCCCGAAGGACCTAGTCCTACATTTGTGTTTGCAGTGCAGCCTCAATTTCCTGAAAGCTCCTGCTCTCGTTTTTCCCCCCAGCGGGGGATCGGCAAAGCCTAAATCGACTGCTGCGGTGCAGGCAGAGTCAGGCATGTGAGGGAACTTTTCAGTACCAGAGCGATCTCTTGAAGGGCTCTGGCTGTCGCGGTGGGCAGTTTCGTGGACTTCAGCTGTGGGCAGGATAGGCTTGCCTCAGTTCTTGAGCTGCAGCCTCCATGCGGGCTTCGTTTTGGTGTTGCCGGGTGAAGCGCAAGGCAAAAAGCCTTGCTATGAGAAGTCTCTGCAAGAGGCTTTGCACAAATTGTGCTCTTGCATCTGCTCAGGCGAGAGCACAAACCTACCTGATCCTTCCAAAGTAGTTGCGAGGCATCAGTTAGATGGTTGTGGCTGCCCCAAGACAGGGAAAATTCTTGCAAATACATTGCAAAGGTATGAATTGCAGATGTTTGTGTTCGCAGTTCTCAACCAGACGCCATCACTCAAGCGTGTTTGATTGATAAGAATGAACACCAACAGTTTGGATCTGGATGCAATCTTGGGGCAGCTTCTGTATGAGGACCTAGTAGGTGCTGTGGAGAAGTGCCTTGGACGACCCAAAAGTAGCAGCTGCATGCAGTCAGGGGGCAGGATGGATACCGGTGACCAAATTTTGGGCCCGTCAAGAGTGCGGCATCCAATTTGGAGGGTTGTGGGGCAAGGGTAGCGAGGCCTCGTCGATGTGTTGGCTATCAAGCTGTGAGTAGCGCAGTGGTTCGTGGACCCAATACCAAATTTTTCATCTTTGAGATTCTGCTTACTAGTATGCTGACACTTGTCATCATCGAGATATTCTCATTCTTGCTTATGATGATGAGGCCCAAGCCTAAGACCTAAGACGAGTCCGCAATTCTAAGCCCTAAGCCCTAGACCTTATATAGACCCTACATCCCAAATCCCAAGCCCTACATCCTATGCGGACCCTAAACCCGAAATCTCGCACCCCATGTAGAGACTTGGACCAGGCGGCTCCAAGTGGGCAGCGAGCTCCTGGACTTCGAGCACCTGGAGCCAGTTGTGGGGGGCCAGTGGCGGCTTTTGCTGGGCCGGCGAGGCGCTGCTGGAGATGAGCCAGAAGCATGTAGGGCTGTAGGGCTGGTTGATGGGGATGACCTGAGGATTATGGAGGTTTCAAGCCGAAAGCTAGGGCAACTTAAGCGTCTGCTGCAGGGATCCCTTACAGAAGCTAGCCCTTTTTTTGTCCCGTATTAGTGGATTTTTGGAACTACCAAAACAAGGTACTCGCGACATTTGTGAATTGATATGCTGTTCATTCAGACTCGAACTAGACCAGCAGGCGGTGAAATCCAGGTTACTAAAGCCCTGATCCGCCTACATGCGCACATGCTCAATTGCTGTAGTGCCGATGCTAAGAAGGACTTTTTCTCCAGTGCTTGCAAACACATGTTGTTCCGCATTTCTGTGACGAAAACTTGACACTGGTCTCCTCATTTTGTCGCATGAATGGCCTGAACATCCCCTTCTACCTGTGTTTGTTTACGCAGGGCTGCTCGGCACGAGCCCAACTTACTCGGCGGCTGGAAGCACGGTGCATCTGTTGCAGCTGGGCCTGAAGCACTGGGCTTTCAGTATGGGTGCTGGGGCTTAGACTCAGACTATTTTGGGGGACTTGGCTTTCATTTATGATGCAGTTCTTTGAATTCATGGATTGGGCCCATAAGAAGTGATTCAAGATGATTCAATATCTCCAGCGTACTTGTCCCGGCAGCGTATCATGTGGTTGTCAGGCTTTTTCACAACAGCCGGCCGCTGCTAAGACCTGGCAGCCCAGCCTGGCAGGCCAACTGAGTGGGGAATGTCTTGCTTCTGCGGCTGGGCCAGCTTGGTATCACATACTATGCTATAACATTATAGCACCTTTTGATGCACTAGAGAATATTATGATATACGAATCAGATTTGTGCAGTGAGGGTGCCAATCTGGTGATCTCCGTTGAGTGACCCTGAATGACATTGAGTTTGCTGCCAGGAAGCAGTCTCGGACTGGGCCCAGGACTTCTTCGCGTGTTCTGCGCTCACGAAGTACAGCTAGAGCAGTGCCCTGGAAGATGTGTCCGCTCCAGAAGAATGCCTCCTAGCGAGTTCTTTGAGTGTTTCGACGCGCAAGTGCACTAAACTCCGATTATGCTGTGTTCTTCTGCTTGAGACTTCGACCCCGCCTGCACATGTTCCGCAAGCCGTCCATGAGAGGACGCCTCGCCCAACACGACACTGCTGGCCACTGGAGAGATGTGTGCCGGGGCACTTGGACGGCGAGGCAACCCTGGAGTGCCGTTTGAGCAAGCCCCTTGAGGTCTCAGGTCTGCGGAGGTAAGCTTTGTTTCCGGTGCAGGCTGGGTACAGCGGAGGCTGCTCTATGATGCGGCGCGGGCTGCCGGCTCTTTGCGTCTGGCGGGACAGCTTGGGGAGAGCTATGATTCTTGGCTTGGAAGGGCCTGGTGCGAATACATGAATACGCAGACCGTTTAGCAACATGTCATGTAGACCTGCATGTAGATGTCAGCTTGCTTTACATGACAAGCAGCATTCTTGAAGGCAGGCCTGTCCCATGTAAGAAGCTAATGTGCGAAGCTAGGCCTACTACACGGGCACCCCCCTCAAGCGCGGCCCGGTGCGGCGCTTCGCTGGCAGCGACCGCTGGGCAATTCAGGATGGAGAGTGGGACATGTTGAACATGCAGCTGTAGGGATTCAATTTGTAGCAGTTGCATTCTTGGGTTCAAACTCACGGAAAACAGAAGGCCGTCAGCCTTGCTTGTGGCTGTGCAAGCCCTGGCAGCAGGGCTTTCGGACTCCAGCAATCCGGCAGACGAACGTTTGATGATGAGCCGCCCGCTTGTCAGGAAACCGCAAGGTGTAATTTGCAAGTGAAGAAGAGACGCAGCACCTAATATTCATTCGGCCAATACCCAGAGGCCAAGCTGACTTGTGAGTGTAAACGGAAACTACTGTACTATATGAACTACATACTACATACAAGCCAAAAACATATCAAGACGTTGATCACATGTAGAAACTGCGAAAGCCAAAACAAAGTCCAACCACAAGCCAAAAGACAAGCAAAGTGACAGCCTGACAACAGCTTCAGAAGCTGGCTTCCTTTCAGCGTCAATTTCGGCTTTCTTGTAGCTTTTACTCAACTTCATGGTTATTTGAGAGGATAAAGGTAGCTACATGTAGCAGGTTCCAGCAGCCTGGCCTCGGATGCACCAGACATAAGAGGAAGCTAGAAAACGGCTTCAAAGAAAGCTGCAAAAAAGCTGAATCAAGCTAGATACAGGTTGAGTTCAGCCAAAAGTCAGCCAACCAAAGGCCAGCGATAGACTATGTCAGCAATGATAACGAGTGTATTGAAATCAGGATTGCAAGAGTTGTCATCCTCGCTCTCCTTTGAATGGGGTAGACAGGCAGAGCTCGATGCCGCGTCGCCGCTGTATATGGAAGGTGCGCGCCCGAGTGCGGAAACCAAGTAGCGCAAAGGGAGGAGGCTTGGCGCATTTTTTGGGGTTGAAGGAACTAATACTATTTACTATTACTAGTACTATGACTATTACTATTACTATTACTACTGCTAGGTTGATCCAGGTTGGCATTCTTGACTTTCCCTGTCAGAGCCAGAAAGCCGCTGCTAAGGCCATCACTGGCTCAACGAGTCTTGGCTGAGTTGCAAGGAGT